TATCTCTTATTATAAATCAGTGTTTAAAGAATGGTATTTTTCCGGATCAACTCAAGTACTCCCAAATTTCTCCCGTTTTTAAGAAAGGTTCAAAATCAGATATTAATAACTACCGTCCAGTATCAGTATTAAGTAATTTTTCTAAAATATTTGAAAAAGTAATAAGTTATAGACTAGTTAATTATTTTGAAAGTAATAATTTATTTTACAATAAACAATTTGGTTTCCGAAAAAACTTAAGCACAGTTTCTGCTCTTACTCAGTTTGTTAATGAGATTGCAGAGGCCTTGGACAGGTCTCAGGCCACAGCAGGTGTTTTCTGTGACCTGTCTAAGGCTTTTGATTGTGTGGATCACTCACTCCTTTTGCTAAAACTTATTGATTATGGGATTGGGGGAAGTTGCTTTTCTCTAATACAATCTTACCTTTCTGAAAGAAAACAAAGAACTTTAATTTTAGAAGATAACAACAAACATTATTCACCATGGGAAATTGTTTTACAAAATGCTCTAGGAGGCAAAAACACAATGAACTTACAAAGTTTATATGACAAACTTGAGTCTCATATGCGTGCATTAGATACCTTGGGAGTTACAACAGATAAATGTTCCTCCATGTTATACCCGTTAGTTGAAAGTTGTATGCCTGAAGATCTCTTAAGGGCCTGGCAAAGAAGCCCTTTGAAAGTAGGAACAGACCCTCAGGAAAGACTCAACAATTTAATGAAGTTTATGCTGTCTGAAGTTGAAGGGGAACAGAGAATCGGTCTAGACATGGCAGGTTTTGGGATAAGTAGCTCTGGGAAGGAGAAATCTTTTAAAAGGCCATCTCAAACTCAATCAGGTAAGATAGACATACCAACAGCTTCATGCCTCATATCCTCTGGTAAAACTCAAAACTCTTATACAAAGTGTGTCTTTTGTGATAAGAATCATAAGAGTAGTAACTGTTTTGCTGCTCAGAAATTGCCATTGACTGATAAGGTGTCCACTTTAAAGGAAAAGAGGTGCTGTTTCCTTTGCTTGCAGCCTGGTCACCGTATTAAGGATTGTAGAACTCATTTGTCATGTTCTAATTGTAAAAGGAAACATTATCCTATAATGTGTCCTAGTATTCATTCCAAAGAAGTAGTGAATGAGTGTGTAAGCAAATGTGTTGATAAGGTATCTAAAGAAATGACAGTAGTGGAAGATACCGCTTTGGCCAATAAATCAAGTAGCAGAGTGAAAGTGTTTCTGCAAACAGTAAAGGCAAGATTAAGAACCCCAGGTAGTAATCAATTTGAGACTGTTCGCATTCTTTTTGATTCTGGTTCACAGCGTTCTTACATTTTAAAGGACTTGGCTGAAAAAATGAATTACGAAAGCTTAGGAGAAGAAACAATCATACACTCTCTTTTTGGTAATGTCAAATCTGGTGAAGTAATTCATAACAGACATCGTGTGTTTCTAACCAGTCAAGATTACAGTTACAACTGCAACTTTGAGGTATTGAGTCAAACTACCATATGTGGGGAAATTCCACCAGTTACCGAAGGTGCCTGGATACAGGAACTTATAGAGAAAAATGTTTCTCTGACTGACATACATGAGACCAAGCTACCAATTGGTATTTTGATTGGAGCGGATATAGCGGGTAAACTATTCACGGGAAATATGATTCAACTGAAATCTGGACTAGTGGCTATGGAAACTCTTCTGGGATGGACACTGATGGGTAAGGCTATAATTAGTGGTAGTACAGGTTCAACTACACTCTCCACTGTTGTAACATCAATGTTTATTAATGATGCTGACATATCGGAACTGTGGAGATTAGACACTATAGGCATTACTGATACAAGTGAATCAGTTTCCAAAGAGCAAAAGGCTTTGGCAGTTAAAAATCATTTTATAAAAACTACCACTATAAATGAAGAAGGTCGATATGAAGTAAGTTTGCCCTGGGTTGATTGTCATCCTCCTTTGCCTAGTAACAGAGAGTTAGCCGAAAAGAGGTTATCAACAGTTGTAAAGAAATTGGATGGTAACAATTTTACCGTAGACTATGACTCAGTTTTTAAACAGTGGTTAAGTGATGGCATCATTGAAGCTGTACCTTCTGACGATTTGAACAACAACTTTCACTACCTGCCACATAGACCTGTAGTGAAGGAGAGTAGTATTACCACACGAATTCGTCCAGTGTTTGATGCATCAGCAAAGACCAAGTTTTCACCCTCATTGAACGACTGTATTGAAAATGGACCAAATTTAATTGAACTGATTCCTTCTGTTATGATGCGTTTTAGGGAAGGGAAGTTTGGAGTTATTGCTGATATAGCAAAAGCCTTCTTACAGATATCGTTAAATGTACAAGATAGAGATTTTCTTCGGTTTTTATGGTTTGACATCAATGAAAGAAGCCGAAGTATTGTTTACCGCCATAAAAGAGTTGTTTTTGGAGTGAAATGTAGTCCATTTCTTCTAGGGGCAGTAATTGATCTGCATCTTCAAAAATCTATGACTTCTCAGGAGTATGATGATAATGTGGTAAAGAAGCTGAGTAAAAGTTTTTACGTGGACAATGTTTCGACCAGTGTAGATACTTATGAGGAACTAAAACACTTTGTTGAAGAATCGAAACAAGTTATGGCTGCCGCTAAGTTTGATTTAGGAGGATGGCATGCCACGAGCGTCATTGAAGAAGGAGATACCAAGTTCGTCACTAATGTTTTGGGAGTTCAATGGAACTATATTGAGGACGTTCTGTTTTTTAACCTCACGAACTGTATTAAAGATTTGGACGTGTCTCGAATCACAAAGAGAGACATTTTATCCATATCTCACAAGATCTTTGATCCAATTGGTATCCTTTGCCCTGTTACTTTGTTTCCTAAACATCTTCTGCAAAGTATGTGGGACTTGAAAATTGACTGGGACACTGAAGTAAGTTCAGACATCAGTAAACTATTCATACTGTGGTATAATGAGCTAAGCGCTCTTGGAAAAGTGAAAATACCCCGATGGATAGGTAAAATGACTATGGATTCAAATGGTTGTAGTATTCATACATTTTGCGACACAAGTATAAGATGCCTATGCTACAGTTATTTACTTGAGAGTTGAAATTGAAGATGAAGTAAGAGTCCAATTATTGTCTGCAAAATCAAGAGTTGCTCCTCTGAATAAAACTACGATTCCAAGGTTGGAATTATTAGCCGCCACGGTGGGAGCACGTCTCACAAGCTGGACTAAAAATCAAAGTTCAAAAAAGGTTCATGTTTGAGTAGTAATACTACTCGGTGGGAGGATGTTATATCTCCTAGTCTGTGATTTGATGCATATTTACTTTTGACTAATTTAAATTGTCATATGGTTTGGTTTTGTTTTGTTGTCATAATAGTTTTATATGAGTTGTTGAAAATAGAAGTGTGGTTTTAAAAAGTCTAGTTTTTTTCTAATTTTATCTTTATAGTTTTCATCACTTTAAGAAGGTAGGTGTGTAGTGTAAAACAACAATTATTCACCATGGGAAATTATATCCACAGGTGTTCCCCAAGGCTCAGTATTGGGCCCACTTTTTTTTCTTATTTACATTAATGATCTTCCAAAAGCTATTAATAAAGAACTAATTCTTTTTGCCGATGACACTACTGCTTTGATCAAAAATAATAATACAGCTGAAATGTTTTCTTCTCTGCAAAGTGTGGTAAAGGACATGGAGCAATGGTTTTTAGAAAATGGGTTAAAACTTAATGTTGAAAAAACAAATATTATTAAATTTTCTACTAGACACAAAAATATGGAAAACTGTTCCTTTAATTTAGTTGAAGCTCATAAATTCTTAGGGGTTTACGTAGATGACGCAGTTAAATGGGATTCACATTTGAATTATTTACGTAACAAAATTAGGTCGATATCATCTTTATTCATACATTTAAGGGACTGTGTTTCTATTGAGACACTTAAAGTAGTTTATCATGCTTATGTGGAGTCAGTGTTAAGATATGGCATAATTTTATGGGGTCAAGCTACTGGTATTAAAACTTTATTCAGGTTACAAAAACGTATTATTCGTATTATTACCAACTCTCATCCACGCAGTTCTTGTAAGAAACATTTTCAAAATTTAAGAATTCATACATTAACGGGGTTGTATATACTAGAATTATTAAATTACATACATTCAGTTAAAAATGAGCTACCAGAAACAATACATTTTAATCACAGGTATGAAACCCGAAATGAAAATATATTTAGACTCCCCAGACACCGTTTGACCCTATATGAAAAATCTCCATTGTACGCTGGGCTGAGATTGTACAATGTGCTTCCGCCATGCTATAAGTCACTAAGCAAAACCAAATTTAAAGATACAATAGATAATTTTCTTATTGACAAGGCTTTTTACTTAATTGAAGATTTTTACAGAACTACAATTTAGGTTTTTTTTTTTTAAGTGTTTAGTTTTAAGTTAAAAGTTTTAATTTTAAATATTTTATGTATGGATTTAATTTTGACAATGCACCTATTCTAAATGTTATGACATGTATGGAATGTTTTGTGCAAATAAAGTCTATGTCTATGTCTATGTCTATGTCTTTTAACCATTGTGGAAAGTAACATTCAACTATAGGCCTACCTTAGGGCTCTGCCTCATAGATCTAGGCCTATAAAGCTTTTTTTTTAGTTTAATCATTGGATTTAACATATGGACCAACACGATCCGGATGAAATTCAATTGCGAAGCATTTTTTTGGCTTGAAACTGTCAGACACTGTATTTGCCAAGGTTTATATATAATAGTTTTGCCAGCATATCTGAAAATATGCAAACCAACTGCTGTTCTTAATATAAGAAGTTTTCGACTGACTACTATGTAGAACGGGCACACAGCTATTTAAATAATAAACACTTTATAATACAGCTCCTACGAGTTTTACTCCATTCACCTTCAGATATAAAAGCTGCTTACTAGATTTTCCAAAATGAATACTGAACATGTGTTGTTTCTCTTAGAACATGTCCAATATTTCAACTACATCATCAAGCAGTCCAGACTATGTCAGGGAAGAACTAGTAAAGGCATTGAACAGCAAGGGCATCGAATGTAACTGCAAAGGGTGAGTTGATTGAAACGGACCTACAATTCAGTAAATGTTAAAGTATATAGAGTTTATTTTAATATTGATTTATCATATTTGTCAACGCCGTTGGAATTTTTTACATTTTCTACAATACCATATAAAAACCTGATATTTTTACTATCTAACTTAAATCAGTTGTTAGAAAATAATAATCTATCTATATATTAATAGGCAAGCATGTTTCTTTAAAACCTTTTTTCTCAGCTCATGTGCATCGCAGGGAAAATCTACGCATACTGTTAGAAAGATATTTGCCTGTAGATGTGCAGAATCCCTTTATAAATTAAAATAGGCTAAAAAATAAGCACAAAAAACGAATTTGAAAACTTCAAAAAATTAACATGGACCAACTGGGTTGCCATGATGGTGACGAAATAACAACAAAATGTAAACAGAAAATCAAAACAATTGGAGGAAATCCCAATCACATGTTTTATTTACAGTGTGGGGAGAAAATATAGTAGTCTGTACATTAATTATTTTTGGTCGAGTTTCGACCACAGGACGACCACTAGTTATTATTATTAGGCAAACAACTAATATGAACTGAGTTAAATTTAATCTCTCTCATGGCCAAATTGGGATTAGTAACCTTAAATGTTACTGTACTATTAAGAGATTTTTCTCATAATCACGACTAACTATACGTGTCTTTGCCAGGTATTCCATCAGAGGCAAGGTACAATCAGAAGGGAAGGTGTGCAAGTTATCGTTTGAGCTAGAGATCTGTCTCATCCCCACTACAGCAAACGTCAGTGGCTCTGTGGTCGGTGTTCGCAGGAAACGCCTCAAAGGCGACGCCTGGTGCTACAAGCGAGTCTGTGAGGAGGTTCTGCTTCTAGCCAACCTCCAGTGATTCCATATCTACAAGGTTATAGGTTGTGTTTTTGTAGATATTGTTTTCTCCTTTCGATACTCTTTTTACCTGTCATTATCTTTTTGACTTGTTAATTACGTTAGCTTTAAACTCTATTCCAAAGGACGTATGGATTGTTGTATGTAACCAAGGACTCTATTTAAATAAAACTTCTAGTGGATTATACTATTATTATGTATTATATAATGTTTTGTTTTTGTTTTAAAGAGGTATTTTGTTTCTAAACCTGTGAGTTTAGTTAAGACCATAATTTCTCAGTTATTTAACCCTAACTATATCTCGACTATTGAGTTTTTTATTTACATTGAAAAAAAATGAACTTTATAAAACAAGTTAGTGGCATGATAATGTTTCTTATATTTAATTCATTATTCAACTCAAATGTTAGGCTATACATCATACATCATAGGCTTGACATCTTACATTTACTTGAAAAAATCTTTTCTATTTTATAGTCTTTGGAGATGAGGCCCAAATTTCTTTTTTAGTAGTCCCAGTTCCATAATCAGCATTTTTTTAAATATTAATTTTTTTACTAAAATTAAATGCACATTAAACTAGTTTTTACAAGGTTGATGATGGTTAAGAGAATGACATTGTGTATTTGGAGACCCATAGATTTTTCATCAAGGTTTCTATAAAGGGAATTTTAACCCCTTTTAACACAGCCTTCAATGAGAATCCTATGTCTTGACATTTTTTACAATCCTATAAGTTTATCCTGTAAGAAGTTAAGTCAAGAAGATCCACATCACTCTCTTACTTAATGTTATGAACACTGTACTATTGATTTGACTTATGACAATGAAGGTATTGTTGTGTAGTAAAATATATATATAGGTTAAATACTTTTTCATATTATAATTGAGATATATATCATTGTTCACCTAATGGAACTAACTGAATTTACCAAATGTATAGGCCTATACCTAATAAAAATAGTTTTTCTTACTTCTTAATTTTCTTAATTAGAGCTTCAGATATATTTGTTAGCATATACATAACAACACAACTAATGTTCCTTTCTTTTGTCCCATTCGTAAGAAACTATTGTCATGAGATAAGATGTGAAATTTCACTCAGGGTGTTTTGTATTTTTATAATTAAAACATATAGCTCAGATAATCTGACGGTTGCATTTTTTCCCTTTGGTCATAGACTACTATTTTTTACAAAGGCTACTTAAACCTGAATGAAAATGGGGAGGCTTGGTAAATTAATGAAAAGTTATAGTTCCATTTGTTATTGGTTGATGAGAAGAAGTGAACTCTCAGTCCAGGCATGTCAACCATAGCTTATTGTGCAAAGAGTTCCATAAAACATAATGCCTACAATAGAAGCTTCAAAGTGAAACACATCATGGTCAAGATACCTGATCAGTGATCCACCTCTCCTCACTTAGCTACTTGTGACTGTAGTTTATGCAGCCCCTCTTGTGCATTTATTCAACCTTGAAGATATTGAACAGTTTTGTCTCATCTCATTTCGCTTGGCAAAATAATTTCTTCAAAAGCTTTGAATGTGTTGGTACTATTTTACCGATAAAATAAAAAAATATGTTATAATTAATTAATTATAATGGCTTGGTCTTCACAAGTTTGTCTCCGACAATATCTCCGGTAAAACCTGATGATGTTGCCGGTAAAAATTTATCGATATTGTATTATTTTTATATTAATTCACTGTCTTGCATAAGTTTATTTATACAGTTGAATCTTGATAATAAGGGATCTGGAATTTTGACTTATTGGTGTAAAATCATGAAAATAATACTATATTAAACCTTTAAGGTTAGGATAGCAAACTTCTGTAGCCTTATAAACTCGTTGACTATTTGCCATGCAACAATACAAAACCTATTTTGATTGAGCTCATTAACTCAAAGCTTATCTGTATCTTGCAAAATGAAAATACCGTTAAGTAAAGTGAAACATATGCTAAATTCAATTAGGCTTAGGAAATTTTAGATATAGGTTAGCTTAAATAGCTCAATAAAATTTCCGTCAACAAGTTAATCTACTAAGACACGGTACCATAGAAGAACACTATATTTTGATTTTTCTATCGTCTCACAAAGAATAGTCAAGCCGCATAAGTTGACAGTAAATATAATTTCAAAAATTGAAGCATCGTAGCTTATTGATACCAAATGAAGGTTAGGTGGATTCTGGAGTGGTTTCCTTTTCCTACAGATGGCTTAACCATGTTGACTTAAAATAGAACCAATAGTTAAATTGAAAATCATGTTTCTGGCCCCTGGACTATATTGTTAAGACCTATATTGTTATCATTTGACTATATGACTAGTTCTTGTTTTATTGTAAAGAAAATCCTAAGGTTTATGAAAGTAGAGCTTTACAATACAAGTTGAACATGATAGTTTATTACGGATAAAATTGTCTCTAAAAATAAGTTTGAACATCTATATCAGACCAATATTTTTCCTCATTTCAAAACTTCAATTTATATCACAATGTCTTACAAATTTATCTTTACAAGAAAAACCCGCTTTTAAAATAAAAGTTATCACTCTTGAATAATGACTTTGCTCCGCTTCAACACTCAATTTAAAACTTAATAGCATTGTTAAAATTTACTTTGCTATCCGTTCATTGACTGATGCAAATACTGCACCTTTTCAAATATTACTTACTTAACATCAAACATAAAATTAATATTTATAATACTGTGTAAATCAAGTACTTTATAATAAATAGGTCTCTATGTTATAAAATAATTAGTATGTTCATCATTTTTAACAAGTATTGTGGTAACAATGACAGCAATTAAATTGGTAACACTTTCCATAATATTATAAATTATGCGTATCGGTAGAATTCTTTGATGGTAAAAGGTACGAGTACTATTAAATTTTTTTTTACAAAATTAGAAGTCAGCATCCCAGTTGGAGTCTTCATCGAAAGGAACTTGTGTGTCTTTGGTGTAGTGGTCGAAATTTGACGTATCTACTGGACTTCTCACCTACAAAACATATCACATCACACAGTATCATTAACTGTATCAGGGCAACAAGGCATGACCTCGTGTCATTTTGTTATGTTACGGTATGGTACTTACTTAATGCATTAAAATTGTAATCGATACAAGTACAAACATTGATAAATAAATGCAGAAACTAACTTTGCTAGTCATCTAAAACCATCGTGTAGTTTAGTTTAAAGGACCAGTTAAACTAGTTAATGGTCATACTTGGGAATAACGAATAGAAATTCTATCAAATAGCACTATTCATTAGTTTTTTTGGCTAACTTCTATTTTATTAGTTTGTTTTTAAATTAACTAACTAATAACTTCAATCAGTTACTTTTTATGGGACTAACTAATAACTTCTAACTAGTTAGAATTTTTAACTAACTTTCCCAATTATGCGGAAGCATCTCAAATACTGGTTACTGTATTTATTTCACGTGATCAGTGAGGGTTGCGTGCGGCCGTGAGGGGTCAGTGCCCTTGTAGACAAACAATGCGGGGGGTGGGGAAAGAGAAAGTCAAAGTCCAGTTGCTTTGGAATACAGTGGGCCTTTGGAAGGGTAGTGACGGCCATTATCAACACCCCAAGATGGGTGGGAAGGGGAAATGTTTGTTTGGTGATTGATATATCATCTCAAGTGTCAAAACATTGTCTTTAGTTGATGTTCATTATCTGACAAGTTTTATGTCATTTGTTTATGTTGTAGTAATGTAAAATGTGACAATGTTTGATTAAAACACAAGTACCAGGGGACCGATCTTGTTCGAGGTGTTTGATTTGTTCAAGAGGTAAAAAATAGAGCTTATAAGCCTACAAATATTTTCAGTCTTACTACAATTAATTAAGTAGTAAAGTCAATTCGTTTTTGTTAGACATCCACTTATCCTCAATTTAGTCCACTAAACTTTTTAATTTGGACGATCAATCTATAAAATGTCCACAATAAGCTTCAATCAATATAAAACTCATGATACATAACATCTGTTATCTGACGACCGTTATTGCATTAAGTCACTGGGATCGTGGAACGTTGCAACTATAATTACGGGATGGTGTAATAACGTATCAATTCGTGCGGTGCATCGTCGAAAAATACATATCTCCTTGGCCTTTCCTTTAGATTTTTAGTTCAATGTCAGTGTATATTGTTTTGCAGTAAAACACTTAATGTTTTTGAACAGTCATAATTATCCCTTTGGTTAGTAAGACATCATACAATGCAAATGTATTATACAAGCAATTTTCAATAGCATTGCAATTGGAGGAAATCGTAGGAGCCATTTTTAAAATCATATATTGCGCAATCTTTACTCATATTATAGTATATATTAGTAACCAAGATGTGACATTAAGAAATACTTTAAAACAACTGCCCAACGAACAACTAATTTCTACTAAAACTAACTTTATTTTCTATCAGTTAGTTTTTCAACTAACTAATAACTTCTATCAGTTACTTTTTAAACTAACTAACTTATAACTTCTATCAGTTACTTTTTACGGGACTAACTTATAACTTCTAACTAGTTCGAATTTTTGACTAACTTTCCCAACTATGGTTAACCCATTAAATGGTTAACATGAAACATGATCTTGGATCACCACTCTTAAGCTCTTTAAGAGAAGATTTGCCTCTATATTCTAACAAAATCCTTACACATTGACGATAATGAGTTAGACGAACAGAGGATAAATATTAAAGATTTGTTAGAAATTGATAAACCGTGAAATAATGTCTGTAAAACATACAGCCATACCGACTTCAAGCCTTTTGATAAGATTTTTCATTGATTTCTCTTTTTTGACTGTTGGGGGATTTTATAAACAACTCTGTAAATCTCATCCCTTGGATCCCATTACAACTCCAACAATTAACCAGTTATGGACATCTTAAACTGACACGTTACCTTACATCTATCAATATTTTTTCATGAATCACTTTTCATAATAGACAGTGGTCAAAAAATTCATTTTGCAGTGTGCAACTCATGTTAAAGTATTATTATCCTTACTTTAACCCATTGGGGAAGGAATTAATCCGCTACCTGCAGCACCCTCTGGCGGCAATTAATTTTACCAAATTTGTAGACTTTTACTCTAACTGCTATAGAAAGAAAACCTTAGGTAATAAATTAATAATTCTTTCACCATTTTGTTCACAGTAAAATTGTCTACAGAAAAGTGTTAATTGGATAGTCAAAGTTCAAAAATAAAAAAATATATACATATAAAGATTATAAAAATAAAAATTTTAAAAACAATATTTTGAAAGTAAACTTGATATACAAATTCCAAGATGAATCCAGACACCAAATAACACTACTATTATAAAGGTCAATCGATTCCCTACGTAGAAAAATCAAAAGTTGTGTACTTTTATAAGTAATAACATTTAAAAAAAAATTGTTTGTTTACCTTACCGCAGCTGATTTTTGGTGATATGTGGTTTCCATAGCAACACAAAATTGTTTGTTATTCGCTAAAATAAATGAGTAAATACGCAAATCAAGAAGCAAGATATTTATAAACATTATAATAGTAAGAAGAAACAAAAAGAGCAAAAAATAATAATAACTAAATAACAAATGGCGCTGCCTAGCGGTGACACGAGCAGCTCTCGTAAGTCGGCCTCCGGGCCTGCAGCGGCCGTACGAGTAACGCTCGTAAGTCGGCGCCAATAAATTAAAACACTTCCTACAGTCAAAATAACACTTCATAACATCAAATTTCACTAAACAACAAATTCATTACAAAACATAATATAGTTATTTTACATACAAAATCACTAATCAGTGCCAACAACTCAAAATTGTAACTTCAAAGTCAAACTGAATCCCATTTGCCTATGAGTATAGAACATGAGACAACAAAATACAATATAATATAGTCTATAAGTCGATGGTTTGTTTTGATAGTATAAGATAAATGTAGAGATGAATACAATATGAATATACCAACCTGAGGCACAATTGGCGGCAACAATGTTTGGTGTCTTAGACCGTCCCAATCAAAACCTTGGAACCATCTACAAACAAGCCATTTTTGTGTTAAGTCTTTATTCAAAATCCTGCAACTAGTTCTAAATCAATCTATATTGTATACATGTTTTAGGGTTGTTTCTTCTGTGGATTTAATAGACATCCAAGAAATTCACGTCCTGCAAGAATTTCTTACTGTGAATGTTGTGGTAAAAAAGGTATCCTTGTGCTATAATGGGGGTTAATCAAAATGTTATGTTAATAATGATTTTAAAGATTCTCCAGGATTTCTACCCATCTCAAAAACATCTTACCTCACCTACGTTCTACCAAACAAGTAACTAGAAACTAATTAACTAACTGGTAAAAATATTTTAATGTTTTAAAACATGTGTTTCCTTTGTAAGGGAGAGGTAATTTGCAAGAGGCAACAATAACAAAGCAATAACGAGCATGGACACGTTTTAGGTTTGTAGGCAAATATAGATTCCTACTAGACATTTCATAAGTAGACCTATCCAAATATACGGACTTGTTCTTCTTGATGTCAGCAAGGCCCCCCTTCTGGCAGCCCAGTCTCTCTGCTGGCATGTCTCGGCACAGCTTCTTGATGAGCATCTGAGCAGCTCGGGTCACATGACGAGGAAAGTCCACCAGGTCAATCCCCTTCAAGATCATGTTGTAGATCTTCATTGGGTCCGACCCACTGAATGGTGGTCTGCAAAATGTTTATAATTGTAAAGAACCAAGACTAATCTGCTGTACAAAATGCTTATTATTGTTACATTCTTTCCAAAAATTTCAATTCAAATTGTTTAAGTAATATAATACTTATATAATCCTAACCTTTACTTAATTTAGAAATGTACTATTTTAAGTATGGTACCTAACTTTCTGGAATGAGCAAACGTGTATTGTTGTATCATCACTATTCAAATAAGGGTGCAATAAGGTGTACTCTTAATAACCCATCATAAAGAATACAGTCAAACCAGGTCCGTGAAGTTGGCGTACCCATATTAGCGTATCCACTTTTGATCATACCAATCGTTAGTTCATCGTTAGTTCTTGATAGTTCCCAAATTTTGTCGTTAGTTCTCAAAAAATAAAAAAGTTATAGCCGATAATAAGTGGGTACGCTAACTTCACACTTCCGGGTTCTAGCGCACGCCGTTTCCTGATGAGAAATGTTTACATCTATATATCAATCGTTAGTTCTCGATGGTTCTCCAATATTAACGTTAGTTCTCAAAAAATAAAAAAGTTACGAGGCATACAAAGTGGGTACGCCAACTTCACAATTATAGAATTTCCAGCGGGCACACTTTTTTGAATAAAAATGCTTACATCTATATACCAATTGTTAGTTCCTCGTTAGTTCTCGATAGTTCTCCAATATTAACGTTAGTTCTTAAAAAATAAAAAAGTTACGAGGCATACAAAGTGGGTACGCCAACTTCACAATTATAGAATTTCCAGCGGGCACACTTTTTTGAATAAAAATGCTTACATCTATATACCAATCGTTAGTTCTTCGTTAGTTCTCGATAGTTCTCCAATATTAACGTTAGTTCTCAAAAAATAAATAAGTTACGAGGCATACAAAGTGGGTACCCCAACTTCACAATTATAGAATTTCCAGCGGGTACACTTTTTTGAATAAAAATGCTTGCATCTATATACCAATCGTTAGTTCTTCGTTAGTTCTCGATAGTTCTCCAATATTAACGTTAGTTCTCAAAAAATAAAAAAGTTACGAGGCATACAAAGTGGGTACACGCCAACTTCACAATTATAGAATTTCCAGCGGGCACACTTTTTTGAATAAAAATGCTTACATCTATATACCAATCGTTAGTTCTTCGTTAGTTCTCGATAGTTATCCAATATTAACGTTAGTTCTCAAAAAATAAAAAAAGTTACGAGGCATACAAAGTGTACGCTAACTTCACAATTATAGAATTTCCAGCGGGCACCGTTTTCTGACTAAAAATGTTTATATCTATATACCAATCGTTAGTTCTTCGTTAGTTCTCGATTTTTCTCAAAAACGTACCCTCAACTATTCTTTCAAACATTCACAGCATCGTTCTTAAACAGTTTCAAAATACGTTCAAAATTATAAGTGTTAGGTTATTAATATATACCGAGAATAAATATCTTATGATAAATTAGTTATAATAAAATATTAATTGAAATTTAGTTTAATGATTTGAAAAAAAGGGATTTCATTTAAGTTCCATGCCTTTAGCCGGCTCCAGACTGTACCCACGCAAAGTACAGAACAGCAACTCGCCGAATCGCGAGTAGTATGACAGCAAATGCTCGTGCTCGTGTTTTCCGTTCATTGCCGGTATTTTTGCACACATCAAAGTGAAGGAATATTTTTGCCATTCTCGAAACGAACAGTTGGTGGGAAAACAACACATGTGAGTAGACACATGTAAATATAGATATAAGCATTTATAGTCAGAAAACTGTGCCCGCTGGAAATTGTATTATTGTAAAGTTTGCGTACCCACTTTGTATGCCTCGTAACTTTTTTATTTTTTTAGAACGAACGTTAATATTGGAGAACTATCGAGAACTAACGATTGGTATATAGATGTAAGCATTTTTATTCAAAAAAGTGTGCCCGCTGGAAATTCTATAATTGTGAAGTTGGCATACCCACTTTGTATGCCTCGTAACTTTTTTATTTTTTGAGAACTAACGTTAATATTGGAGAACAATCGAGAACTAACGAAGAACTAACGATTGGTATATAGATGTAAGCATTTTTATTCAAAAAAGTGTGCCCGCTGGAAATTCTATAGTTGTGAAGTTGGCGTACCCACTTTGTATGCCTCGTAATTTTTTTATTTTTTGAGAACTAACGTTAATATTGGAGAACTATCGAGAACTAACGAAGAACTAACGATTGGTATATAGATGTAAGCATTTTTATTAAAAAAAGTGTGCCCGCTGGAAATTCTATAATTGTGAAGTTGGCGTACCCACTTTGTATGCCTCGTAACTTATTTATTTTTTGAGAAATAACCTTAATATTGGAGAACAATCGAGAACTAACGAAGAACTAACGATTGGTATATAGATGTAAGCATTTTTATTCAAAAAAGTGTGCCCGCTGGAAATTCTATAATTGTGAAGTTGGCGTACCCACTTTGTATGCCTCGTAACTTTTTTATTTTTTTAGAACGAACGTTAATATTGGAGAACTATCGAGAACTAACGAAGAACTAACGATTGGTATATAGATGTAAGCATTTTTATTCAAAAAAGTGTGCCCGCTGGAAATTCTATAATTGTGAAGTTGGCGTACCCACTTTGTATGCCTTGTAACTTTTTTATTTTTTGAGAACTAACGTTAATATTGGAGAACTATCGAGAACTAACGAAGAACTAACGATTGATATATAGATGTAAACATTTATCATCAGGAAACGGCGTGCGCTAGAACCCGGAAGTGTGAAGTTAGCGTACCCACTTATTATCGGCTATAACTTTTTTATTTTTTGAGAACTAACGACAAAATTTGCGAACTATCGAGAACTAACGATGAACTAACGATTGGAATGATCAAAAGTGGATACGCTAATATGGGTACGCCAACTTCACGGACCTAGTCAAACCTCCTATAATAAGTATTTCAATGGGCGGGGAAAAATTCCTAATATCGAGATAATCTTTATGAAAAGGTTCGTTTTATTGAGGTTTAAAGTGCTGTTATTTATAGAGGTTACTGGACACTGCACAGGCACACGCCACACAATAACTGTGGAAGGAAGAGGGATGTGTGGGGGTTTCATGTTGAGACAAGCTTCTGTTTGTTTTGAAAACTACCTACTATGGAATTTTAAGATCATGAGAAATTAGTCTTAAAAAGGTCGCATATTCATCTTGTAGAGGTTCTGTGCTAAGAATATTCGTTGTATAGAGGTTAATCAGTCCTAGCCCATGTCACAAACAAATTCATCTTATGGAGGTAACCTAATTACTACACTGTATAGAGGTGTTTTTAGCAATTACCTTTTATGAAGGTTAAGGGGATCTTAAAAAATTGGTCTTATCAAGTAATTTAATTGTTTTACCGAGGTTCGTACTCACGAGGTTCAACTGTAAAAGATTATAGTAGAATGAACCAGACAGACTGTTTTCACCAACCAATACCAGCTGCTTCTTTCGCCAGGACTATTTATTAAACACTTATTGTACAGGACTCCAGTTCCAAATTATCAAGAAGCTGCAAACATTTCTCAGGACATGCAGAAACTGTTCCTTCAAACATCAGTCTGTCGTCTGATTACTTGGCAAACATATTATACCATTTAGCTACTTCAGTGCTCAGATGTCTCCTCTGGAATGTTGCTATTTCCAATCATGTACAAATAAATATAACCAAACTTCAATTGCTTGCAGTTATGAGACTTACGCGCCAGTGAGTAGCTCATGCATCAGTATACCCAGAGCCCAGCAGTCAACAGCTCGGTCGTGTCCCTTGTTGAGGATGATCTCTGGCGCTACATACTCTGGCGTGCCACAGAATGTCCAAGTCTTTCCACTGTTAAGACCAAGTCTCTTGGCAAACCCAAAGTCTACCTGTAAAAGTAGTAGTGGTTAAACTTTTGGAATTACCTATAACATAAACCCCCCAGGATCTATGAACGTTTCTTCTAAGGGAGAACAAAACAATTGCAATACATTTAGAGGGTTAGAGAGCTGTATTTGGCTTTGTAAGCAGACTTCATAAATATTAGTGAAATACAGTAAACACAATCCTTAAATCATGGTTTTCTAAAAAAAAATAAAGCAATATTTTTAGTCTTTTTATCTAAAAATATAAAGGCTTGAGAGCTACACGCTTAGGCCTACCAACAATAGATACTGTAGTATGTATATTTTAGCTGTAATCGATTTCTATTTAGTTTTATGACTCTATTCAAGTTCATGTAATGTGGCACTATATATCTAATAATGGATGTTTTGACTTGACTTTACTTGACCAAAGGCAAGACTGATGTTTTTACAAAGTGTTTGAATATTTACTAAAAATTATAAATCATGGAATTGCACAAGAACTCTTGACTACTACTGTCGGGTCAAAAAGTATAGATACTCGAGTTTGAGCTTGTATTGCACCGTAACCAATAGACGTAGAAAAATAGAAGTTACATCATGATTTTACGAATTTATTTCTGCGTTTATGTGTGTTGGTTTCAAATTTTTTATGCAGTTCCAACTTTGCCTTTCAGCTGGTTGAATGAAAAAAGTACAGGTTTTTCAGCGCTTTACCAACAACGGGCGACTTTAAAATTTTATAACAAGAAAACTAATGATCTAATCGTCATGAAATTTGTATGGCTTTTAGAACATATACTTATAAAGCATATTTATAAGTTATTTTGGAATTTTCCGTCAATAAGAAAAAAATCTGTCATGGTTTTTGCAAAGGCATTGTATTTCAGCGACGGGACAAGCTAGAAACTCCGATGAAAGCTTGAATTAAAGCTCTTAAAAAGATACAAATGAAAAGTTAAGTTACACATTAGCTAAGGGGCCTTTAATAATTAAAATGGACGTATGATCAAAGCTGTTCTGAAACGCAATAGTGCGTGAAATTTGTACCGCTATCGATCCGCAGGCAGGGAGTTCTCCCTGCCTGGGACCGGTTTTGAAACTGCATAAAAAATTTGAAACCAACACAAATAAACGCAGAAATAAATTCGTAAAATTATGATGTAATTTGTATTTTTCTACGTCTACTGGTTACGGTGCAATAAAAGCTCAAACTCGAGTATCTATACTTTTTGACCCGACAGTAGACTCCATATTCCAAATTTGGCCTGACTTTAGTTTAGGTCCTACACTCATTCGAATGAAAAATATCAATATATAGATTATTCGGTTAGTTAGTTTAGGTTTTAACCTAACTAACCAAACTTGATATATCGAATGATATAATCGATATATCGATCGATATGTTCTTTCGAATGAGTGTAGGACGTAAACTAAAGTGCAGCCCACATTTGGGTAACAAATACATTTGAACAGAGTGTTTTGTAACTCTCTATCAACCTTTTAAGGTATTATTTCTGGGTTCATAACAAATTTAAATTTGAAGTCTTAAAACAGATAAGACCTAATCCTGAATGTGAACCATTTTTGTAAATCTTCCAAGTGTGGTTTATCAAACTGTGTAAATTGTTAAGGCTGTTTGATTCCAATTCATCTGTTGCATCAGCATATTGAACAGGGTTTGAGTTTAAATTAAAAGGCAGGTCGTTTGTATAAATTAACCAATATAGAGGCCTCCACAATAGTTCATTAAACATTTTGAAAAGTTATAGATATTACCTTTAAAAATAAATTAAGTTTGTTGACAGCAAATTTAAGGATTTCAACTTCAAATAATCAATTGGAGAAAGGCTGTAAAATTTGAGCTTTTTGAAGACACAAAACATTCCAGCAGGATTATGAGACCTTTTAATGCCAAAAGGTGTGTAATACAAGTCAGTCAGAGAGTTGTATTACGTCCTGGATCTAAAACAATATTGTTCTGTTACTAAAATGCTGTTACTTTTCAAGACAAAATTTTATTTGATAAATACGGTAATATTTTTTTCAAATACCTACTTTAGAAAAGTTGGTAAAATTTAAATTGGGCAGTAGTTGTCCATGGTTGAATTTTAAACCATTAGATCATTTAAGAAGTTCAATTAAAACATTTTTTTTTTTAGCTGTACTGGGATTAAACCCCAACTGGGTGGCGTTTTATTCTGAACTGAACAAATTGCTTTATATACTTTTTGTTGAATTTTTTTTCAATAGTATATGGGCATCAAAAAGATTAAAATCATCTTAAACTATTTTTCAACCGTAAAGCTATTTAATATTGTTTTTACTGTAATAGCTGCAGGGAGTCAATTGTTCACTTACAAGTTTAACATATCCTCTGGAGTCTAGCAGAAGATTTTCTGGTTTGAGATCCCGGTAGACGATGCCTCTGGAGTGGAGATAGTCAAGCGCTTCGATGACACAGGCCACGATGAAGCATGCGGATGAGTCGTCAAAACATCCTCTGTCTCGTAGAATAGTCCACACCTCTCCTCCTAGACACGCCTCCAGTAGCATGTACACGTACTTGTTGTCTTTGAATGTCTTGTATAACCTGGAGCAAGAGGTATTTAAATAGTGTAAAATGTTTGTTATAGGACTGGAAACTCTTGGACACTTTCCAGATGTATACTAATCTGAAGAGGTGAGGTTGTTTGCATTGATTTACTTGTAAATTTTCCAATGTGGGAACACTCACCATCGTCTTAGAACATTTAGGATATTTGGAAAAATACAGTGGGAATGCCGCCGTTCCTGCCCCACACCACACCACTTGTTGCTACAAGATGGAACTGTGTAGTTAGAAAAATATAGTCACATGTAAAAACTTTATGTTTTTGTTTTACAGAGGAATATACTGTATTGTCAAGTCCCTGATCTTCATGGTTGGAACAAAAAAATTTTTTCCAACTAGAGGGTCATAAAATAAAAATAAACATATCGGTAATATGAGGAATACATTTTTTTACAGTAAGGAAAAGAAAATGCAATATCCATTTGAAAGAAATCACTATTTAAAGTAGATAGTTAACTCGGATAGTTAAAAAAAAAAATATGTGTAACCTCAGAGAAGTAAGAAACTAACAAAGTAAAAATAGATTCAATGTTACAATTAAGTGGTGTCTAGAGGAAATTCTTTTGATCGCCCCCTTCTGCTTTCCTTTCCCCCTTGGCCATCACATACTACAGCGCTCACGCGGTAGGAAGACCCTGGGCGTTACAACAGCTATACAACTATGCTATATGTGGTTATTGCTGTTTGGGCTCTTCCTTCTTCTATATTAGTACATTTCCGCCCCAACAACCAGAACTAAAAGCACACAGTTGTCCCATAAGCTTGTATCCTCTGTATCTCTGTGGTGTAAATCAGGGACTAATATTGAAAGCCGGGCAAACAGTAAACTATCACAATGTATGATATTGGATGTTCTACAGCGCTTCCTTAGGCTTAGGACATACTTGTAATTTTTTAACCTACAATATAAGTTTTACATTTTTCACAGGTAATGCACGGGAAATAGTTTGACCATATGTCACATTCACCTTAGGAGTTTTTTGGGTTATATAACCAACATGGTAAGGTAGAGCATATGACACACTATAGCAATAAAATCATCATCCGTAATCTGCACCTACCCCCTCTATATTCCCTACACAGTAAAAACAAATCAATTGTTGTTGCACGATGATGGAAGTGAAACATGGAAAAAAGTTGTTTATTTTGCAAGGTGCAGGTTTTTTAACGTCAATACTGTAGGCCTAAAGTTTCCAAAATGACAACATTGGAAAATCTTACCGGACATGTTAGTGTGTTCCCAGGCGTACAAATCTAAGGGTAACATGGGCGAAAAATAAAAATGGTAAAGGTAAGGTGTAGTGCTACAATCTAATAATGATTATTCTAAGTTGCATGGATGTGCTACAATATGTACCTGCAAATCAGGGGGTGTCTACAGGCCATCATTATTTCTTTTTCACTGTACACATGTTCTTGCTGGTGTGTTTCGACTATGTGCTGTTTTTTCAGACACTTTAAGGCATATGTTTTGTTCTTGTTTTGAATACACTGTACAAGCTCCACTCTGCCAAACCCTCCGACCCCCAGTGTTGCTACTATGTCTAGGTCTTCTAATTGAATATTTTCTAACTCTGTAAAAACAAATTATTGACATGAATAACAAACACAATGCCATGAACACTTCTCTGGTCACATTAAATAAATGCAATATTTGCAAGGTACATAGTTAAAGATTTATTGTACTACTAGTGGCCTGTAGGGGCCATAGCCCCTAATTAAAAGTAGGCTACAATAAAAAAAACCATGTATAAAAAGACAAATATTCTAAATATGTTTTTAAAATTATAAATTTTATGTGGTACTTAAAATTAACAGTTTTTCTTGTTTTAAATCTTGGTTTTCCTTCCGTTGGAGTCGTATATTAGTTGCTTCTGATGTGTCAATGAAATAAAAATACCGTAATTATTAAATCAATAACACAACATATTAACAAATAGAAACGTGCACACGGTTTGGCCTGAGCCCGGAGACCGACGAATCAGAGCGGAAATCATAGGCTACAGCCAAAAATTGCACATCTTTTCTAGTTTAAAATTGAAGATTTGTTTTGTAATCTTACGAACTCTGTTATAGTTTCCATTTTTAGAACCAAATGTAAAGGTTAAAATTATTATTAATTATTATGAAGGCCCCCCCATCATAATAATAATAAGGCCCCCCATTTCGCGGTAGTAAGTCATAAATATATCTATGAATTTGTCCCTGAATTTTAAAACAGTAAGGCCCATTTCCCGGAATCTCTTTTTGTGTAGCGGAAAGCAACGCAAAAGCCTTTGCACTGTTGTATTGCCTTATGTTTCTTATGAAGTTTGAAGTTCGAATCATGTAAAAACGGTTCTTTTAGTTCGTCATTTACTTGTGGTTGTGGCATGTCCATTGTGGCAAAATGCATTGAAATGTCCATTTGTGGCCTCTTCTGCGAAGTGAAGTGCGCCACAATACATGCAAGTGCTGGAGGACCTAGATTGTGAGAAACAACACTCAACTTATTTTCCAGCGTTCTTCTGAAGGCAGGTTGTAAAACAGCTTCTGGATTTATTTCACAGTTAGGCCCTACATGACATTCTCTTTTAGAATTTCTTAAATCTGTTGAATTCCTGGACACTCTTCCACGTCTTGCAGGTCCCTACCCTGTATAGTTACTTCACTCGTTATAAAAACGGAAAACAAAAAAAAATAAACAAATACAATTGATTTTGAAACATTATTTACCAACATGGCCTTTTGAATAAATTGTAAACATTGCAAATAAATAAGTAACAGCTGATAGAATGCAGACGTTTTCCAGTCCCCATGTATTTCTTATGGTGGATATTTTACGTTATATCTCGTTTTCTGGTAACTTTATGGGAATTCTGCTATTTTTCCCGAGTCCCTGGGGTCAAGACCTTTAATTTAAGACCCCTCCCACTTTTCTGCGACCTACCAGGCGTCCACAATTTTCTGGTAAAAATTTGGTCTTACAGAATTATATACATAGATAAATCTTACTTATTTACTACTTACTAAAGTAAGTATAATTTAAACAACTAAAGAGAGTATGACTGCTGCACACAAGAGATACAAGTGTATTTTTACTATAGAGGCTATCAATCCCATAAACATTATACACATTTATTATACTTTTAAGCTACTTTGTTAAAGTATACATAAAATCAGAAAATATTTCAAGAATAAATTTTATCACTATATAACAATAATTATTTCTGATTCCAAAATGTACTCGTAAAATATAAATCTGTATTACTTTATAATTTTATATCCTTAAATTGTCACTATATTGTCATTTTAATTCAATGATCGTTGTTTATTTGATTTAAAACAATGTTTATATTATTAGATGAATGCTGAGTAAAAATATATGTTTTATTACTTGAATACAAATTAACTTGAAGAAAAGTTAATCCTCACCTTGATCTATCTCAGAGGGAAGACTGTTGCTGCTAGGAGGCCGTTCAGTTCTGCAGAGATCACTATATTCCTTCTCATGTAGCTCACTTAGATCTCCAATCAGTTGGATGAACGATCTAAACCCAAAAGGACATAACCTTCATGGAAATATTACAGGCACCAAAGTGTGCTAACTACAACACCACAGCAAACTTGTAAAGAATTTATTTTTTATACATTCATCAATATATTTTTTACTTACTCTCTGTCCAGGGTCAAACACTCCACTCCAGGAGCCAAGGCGATCACTGTAGCAGTTCTACAGTCCTCCTTCAACAGAGCTTGCTCCCCAAAGTAGTCACCTCGGTGTAGAATGCGGAGGTCTTGTTCTTCAGAAGTCCCTAACACAAAATTAAGTGCAAACTGTTTAATGTTCTCAAGAAATTTTAATAAATTGAGAGTGTCTATTATGTGGCTTTGTCTTACTCCCCCAGAGGCTGATCGAGGAATAATTATGGTAAAGAGTGCTATTTCCATGTGGTATAACATTATTGAACCCTAGCAGTTGCACTGAGAGAACCTCTTTTGTCCCTGATTTTAATTGGAAAGTACGAGGGGTTTTCAGGACCTGAAATTGTAATTGACTGTACTATTAATTGTTTTAGCACATCCATACTACACATTTTGTCAACTTTCTCATATCTCCTGTATATCATGGATAATAAACATTGGCAATTACGTCATTAGCTTTACTAGCGTGTTTACTTTTTACTAGTGTACATTTTGCTCGAAATCGAGCAATTTCAAATCAGTACATGAGTTGAGGAGTTACAAATAAACAAATGACTTGTTTAAAAACTAATAATTTCCGATGATTTTAAAAGAGTCAACTAAAAGATTATTAACTGATAAAAAGGTTAATGTTTAACTATCAAACTGTCCATGGACGGGAAAAGGTAAGCTAACAATTTAAGTCAAAGTAAAAAGGCTGTCAGCTTTTATAATGTACCGTAGACCTACCTAAGTTATTTAGCCAATTTGTAGGTGAGGGTGTAGGCTACTTTAAACTCTACAGAACAGAGTTAGGCAAAAACTGGCAGAACTCTGAAATGGAGTTATTTATCATAGACATACTCATATGCCAAATCCTTAAAATAAAGATTCAATTATTAGTAACTTATATCATTAAACACAAACCAACATCCAAAACTATACACATTTTTAATACAACATAGATAATTTACACATTGACTTTTTACAATTAACAACATGTGTTCTTCTACAGGCATTTGACAGTTCTGGTTGTTTACATTTAAATGTCAAAGCAAATGTAATATTTAATTTCTGACAACAGCTGGAGTTTCAAAACAATATTTGTTTCCCATGCTAATCTTATGGAGAAATACGAAACTTTAAAGGGCCCCAGGGAATCACTCACTAATTATTTACCTAAAAAGAAAGTTTCCTGCACAACTTCACGTTACGCTCTTTCCAATGACACCAAAAACATGTCTATCGGTTCAGTAGTTTCGGAGGAGTAATTGTCACAAAAATCCTGCTTGCGTATTAAATATGTACTAGTGTTCATGTTGCTCGAATTCGAGCAATTGTAAAGTATTACAGGATTTGCAAACCAATAACAATCATACTAAGCTATCTACATTTCAACAAAACACACCTACCTTCCCTGTAGCAGCAAACCTAGGTACTGTACTCGTATTAAAATTAACTTAATGTTATTTAAATAGGAAAAAATGACAATTTTCAGGGAATATCTTTGTAGAAATTAAGCCAGGTATTTACCTATTCACATTTTCTATACTTTAATTCGCTTAGTCTGAAGGTTTGCTGCGGAAACCAATGAAACAGCGGAAACAGCAATGATTGTAGAATCTAAATTATTACTTATATCCATGAATTTATATAACAATTATTTCCTGTAAAATATTATTACAGCAGCTCAAAAATATTGGACAGACTCGGTCAACAAATGACGTAACTGAAAGAATCCAATACTAATGACATTAACATATAGTTTAATAGTTCCATTTAATCAATGTTAAATGTTTACATTCGGGCGAGTGACATATTTTATTTATGGTTATGATCCATACCGTTCCTGTTCTAATAATCATGCAGTATTTAATATATTTGGACCAGCTGTGTGGAATCGTGAAATCAAAATTAATACCGTTAGTTCTGCTTGTTTACATTTTTAAATTTTGTGTGTTTGTTCTTTGTTACTATGGATACCATCAATAAATATTTCACTTTTAATTTCTGACAACAGCTGGAGTTCCATAACAAATTTTGTTTCCCATGTTAAATCTTATGGATAAATACGAAACTTTAAAGGGCCCCAGGGCCTCAATCTCTAATTATTTCACTAAAAATAAAGTTTCCTGCACAACTTCACGTTACGCTCTTTCCAATGACACCAAAAACATGTCAATCGGTTCAGTAGTTTCGGAGGAGTAATTGTCACAAAAAACCTGCTTGCGTATTAAATAAGTAATATAGACTAGTGAACCTGTGCGGCTCAATTCCCCGCAAAAACATATGAATTTAGAAAACAAATTCATTGTGTTATATAGTCAATGGATATATAGGCCTATTGACTCGTCAAAAATCAAATACAGTAATAATAAAGCCTTAGAAGGGAAGCAATCCAGCCATTTTTTTAGCTGTATGCGTATTATATTTAGTAAATTAATAAGAGTTCAAGTTCAAGTATCTTACAGGGTAGTTATTTTTTTAAGATTTTTAAAAACACATTTAACAAAACATTTTTTCTTATCAAACCAATAGGCCTATGTAGCATCTTTTGAGGGTCATAAAATGCTGCTTGAAGAAAACATTTTTAAAAATAAACACTAAAAACAATATTTTTATTACAAAAGCACTTCCATAAATACTACGATTTTAGTCTTAAAGTTACCTTTAGGAATATTACCTTGGTCAGAATTTCCCGTTAATGAATATGCTTATCCTACTATTAAAAGATGTAGCCTTACTTAAAACAACATATACAGTATATAGTTGCTCATGACTGAAATTGGTCTGACTAAGAACATTGCTGCTCTTTAATTAAAGTGCTTGAGCTGCAAATGCCAAAGATAACAGAAATTAGCATCTTTCCATTTTAAAAGGTAACTTTGTTTCAGACAGGCAAATTTGTTATCCTCGAAAGCAAAATATGTCCCTACTCACTTGTTCCAGTTAGGACTTTACATTCTACTTTACATTGTTGTTAACCGTTCTGATCACATGAAGCCTTGTGCCATTAATGAGGCCCTTTTTGATGTATTAATAATAAAACCACTGCCTCCTTTTATTAGTATAATCTGTGTCTTGGCAATCCACTGACCTCTATATTTAAAAACTCATTTGGATTTTCTAGATGGGTGCCTCTGTCTTCGACTGTTTTCGAGGACCCACTCCTCCCCTTGGCATACTGACAATTAATTACCTAACTTGTAAAGTTCATGTAGTAATTCATTAATACTGTAAGTTTATAAAGAAAATTAGATAAAAGGTACTTGGCTTGGTGCTTTCATAACTGCAAACTCAAAATACACCCACAAGTAAAAAAATCAAGTTATTGGTAAAAAAACCATGTTTGTGTAAAAACATTATTCACATGAAGTAGATGATTTGTTTGATTTCTCGATCAGCTGTTTCGTTTCTAATGAATTAATAATGTCAAAGATTTGTGATTTTAAATACATAAATTATTATAGTAAAGTTTTCTAAATATTATTATATTATTATATTATTTATTCTCAACTAAATTTTACTATTCCCAGTATGAAAATAAAGAAGTGAGATCCATTATAAGTAAAGGTTATGGCACACAATCCTTGATTGAAATGTAGTATACATTAACAGTCATAATACACAGCAATTATTATGTAGTAGACTTTGACTATTCTCAAGTAACAAACATATGTTTCCGTAAATAAAAATTATCTCCCTTGTTATCCTTATGGAGAAATACGAAACTTTAAAGGGCCCCAGGGCCTCACTCTCTAATTATTTCCTTAAAAAGAAGGTTTCCTGCACAACTTCACGTTACGCTCTTTCCAATGACACCAAAAACATGTCAATCGGTTCAGTAGTTTCGGAGGAGTAATTGTCACAAAAATCGTGCTTGCGTATTAAATAAGTACTAGTGTCCCTGTTGCTCGAATTCGAGCAATTGCTAAGTATTAAAGGCGTTATATTAAAATGAATAACAGTCATAATTTCTGATGACTTTAAAAGATTCAACTCAAAGATTTTGGAAATACTCATGATGTAGGTACATAACAGATCGATATAATCACAATTTCTTGTCAGATATCTTATCTGACACATAAATATCACAAAATCACAATATCACAAAAATCACAAATATCTTATCATTTTTTTTAAAGCTGATCTTGTTTTTTAGCGTTTTCTACAAATAGCCTTACTCGTAGCCGCATTAGGTTACCCATAATAACATTAAAATATAAAAAATAATTCTATTTCTTCTCCTTGGTGGTGTTCTATGACTTTCCTTTGGTTCCATAGTTTGCAAATGGGCTCTTTCAATGATTAATAAGAAATGCAGCACAGTGTTAATTCAGTTTTCTTTTTAAGATATCAATTTATCCAGGCTCTCTCACTTTTTTCCATTGTAATACGCCAACCCAAATTCAAATAGTAAACATTTCATTTCAACCAAGTCAGTAAATGTTTGTAGCAAACTTTTAAATTAGCAAACTTATTAACGATTTACAACATATGTTCTTCTTCTCACTTTTAATTTCTGACAACAGCTGGAGTTTCATAACAATTTTTGTTTCCCATGTTAATCTTATGGAGAAATATGAAACTTTAAAGGGCCCCAGGGCCTCACTCTCTAATTATTTTCCTAAAAAGAAAGTTTCCTGCACAACTTCACGTTATGCTCTTTCCAATGAGACCAAAAACATGTCAATCGGTTCAGTAGTTTCGGAGAAGTAATTGTCACAAAAATCCTGCTTGCGTATTAAATAAGTACGAGAGGTCGTCCAGTGGTCGAAACTCGACCAAAAATACGTAATGTACTCACTTATCTATTTTCACCCCACACTGTAAATAAAACATGTGATTTGAGTTTCTTCCATTTGTTTTGGTTTTCTGTTTATATTTCGTTGTTATTTCGTTACCAGCATGGCAACGCATAAGATCCATGTTAATATTTTCAAATTTTTAAACTCATTTTTTGTGCTTATCTTTGAGCCTATTTAAATTTATAAAGGGATTCTGCACACCTACAGGAAAATATTTTTCTAACGGTATGCGTAGATTTTCCCTACGATGAACACGAGCTGAGAAAAAAGGTTTTAAAGAAACATGCTTGCCTATTAATATATAGATAGATAGACTAGAGGTCGCCCAGTGGTCGAAACTCGACCAAAGATATGTAGGTAGGCCTACAGTTGGATTTTCTTTTAGCTAGAAGCGGTTGAGGTATGTTGGAATATCTTTGAGGATGAACCTTTTTGGCTGTAGTGAGTGAGCGTGATTATGTGTTCATAATACATGTAAAATTTTGAGGTTAAATCAAAACAAACCGACTGGTATGTTGTCAATTAGGGGGCGTGTTGTTTTAATTTACGAAAGAATGCTCATTTAAGATGAAATAAATTAATTTATTATAAGTCATTGTCTGATTTATTAGAAAACATTCAGTATTTATTTAGGCTACTGCATTTTATAAACCAAACTCGAATCTTGTTACCTTGGCCTATCATATAACCTTTGACTATCAAATGGTATAACGTTTTCCTGTTTGATACCTGGTAAAACTTATCAGATTGCATAAGTGAATTATTGGCATTACAATTTAGCTATTAATTATAATTTAAATGGGTCAAAACTCAAAAAGTTAGTCTATAAACGTTTATCTCGTCATCTTGAGAGTATATAATTCTGACCCCTAACTTGAAACTCAAAAGGTGGGCCTGGGTCTTGAGATATTTCCAAACGAAACGTAAACCATCACTATGTCCAAACAGTTTAACATGTGTATCCCAGTCACAACAACTACATTATTTTATTAATACAATGATCTACATTAATTTCGCTAGAAGATTCAATATTTTAATATTTACTCATGTTAAATTAATTATTTTCAAAGCAACCATTACTTTATTTGAAGGCAATAATTAAATAACAATTTATTCATTAGTTGATTTGGAAATAGGAATCTCGTCTTTATTTCACAGTTAACACGTTCGCTGCTACGGACGTTCCGGAACGTCAGCCGGGCCACGGCGCCAGGAGCTAAGAACGTTCCAGAACGTCACCGTTCATTGTTGTTTAACGTTGCTATGGATAAGCCAGCACGTCACAAGCGTTCTATATTTCTTTGCAGCTCGTGGGGACGTACTTTTCTGACAATAAAAAATATAGTTTCCCAAATCACCACCAGGGTTGTTTGGAACAGGGCTTTGTTTTACCTCTTTCCTGCTAGATAGCGACACTACTTTACCGACTGTAACCTGGGTAGTGCTGCTATCCATCAGAATCACTTAGTACTATATCAAATGCCAGTATTATTGCAGAACATTGCCATCCAGTATAACTACTGTTGTTTTTACTGTAATTCAGTGTATCGGTGGCAATGTCACGCAGCGGCCGAGCGTTAGTTCAGCAACTGGCGCCGTCCCGGCATCTAGCGCTCAGCAGCGAACGTGTTAATATTCTCTAATAATGACCAAGTGATTATATTAAAGTAGAGTAAGTATATTTAACTATTGCCAATTAAAAGAATATTTTATGCCAGTTTGTTTGTTTTGATTTACCCTGAAATTTGACACGTATGAACACATGATCGCACTAAAAAGGTTCATCTTCAAAGATATTCCATTACAGCTTGCAACCTACTCCTCTTTATTAACGGATTTCATAAATATAAACTTATCCAAAATAGATAATAAAAAATTCCAATAAAGTTACAATAAGATATATTTCAGTTCTATAGCTTATATTACAACAATGTCATGAGCAATGACAGTTAGCTTATAGTTTGGTCTAGGTTTTGGATGGGCTAGATAACAATTTGGAGAGCAATGATCTTATTCTAGGGGTTGGTTCGTGCCGGGTATGAAATTCTGATAGGCTAATTAACTTAATTTATAGGTACTAATGTAGGCTAACTAATATGAGATAATAATGAGAGTCAAAAATTTAGGATATAAGTTCTTAGTTTGAAAACAGTCACTTGAATTTAGTCAATTCTCAATGGTGTGATGGTGGTTGGAAATTGATGATAAGTTTTAAAATGTTTGTTGTAGTTTATATTACCAATTTTTGTTGAATAGTTAATGTCTCTTTATATTCAATATTTATATATATATTCTGAATGTTAGTTTTACTTTTGAATATTTAAATCACTGGAGACTTGGCTCCCACATTCATCTCTATCTATATCTTCCACCACCAGCACATTTCTTCCTTTGTTTTTGCTTTTCTTCCAACAATGCTACTTCACACCTGGATACTGGACAGTACAAAAGAAATATTTCCTACCTAGACACTATTTCATTTTAGAATATTATTTTTAATACAGTTTTTCTTCTTCACTAATTTATATTTAATTAAATTTAAATATTCTTTTTGAAAATACAGTAATTAATAAATATTGAAAGTAATTTAATTAAAATTCATATTTGAATACATTCATGTTTTATCTCAAGCTTAACCGCATCTAGCTAAAAAAATCCAATTGCACTGAACTGACTTATCTATTTTCACCCCACTCTGTAAATAAAACATGTGATTGTAATTTCTTCCATTTGTTTTGATTTTCTGTTTATATTTCGTTGTTATTTCGTCACCAGCATGGCAACCCATAAAGCCTATGTTAATTTGTTTAAATTTCAAATTCATTTCTTGTTTTTATTTTTGAGTCTATTTTAATTTTTAAAGGTATTCTGCACTACTACAGGAACATATCTTTCTAACGGTATGCGTAGATTTTCCCTACAATGCACACGAGCTGAGAAAAAAAGGTTTTAAAGAAACATGCTTGCCTATTATTATATAGATAGATAGATATAGATATAGATATATAGATAGATATTCCTGCTACATGTGACTCTTTTAGTAATCGTGAGTTATTGTTTTTCAAATGAATGTTATTTGACCAAACAGCTGTTTCAAAACAAACTGTTATTGTTTTTACTTTTCTTTGTTTACACTTATTTATTTAGCAATTAATGCAGTGAAATTGATATAAAGGATAGGTGTGACGATTTATGTGTACTTTGAATTTTATTGGATATTATCGTTTTATTTTAGGTCGTTTCTATTCAGACCTACTGGAAATAAGAGGCAGGTATGCTATGGATGGTGGTATCGGTGACTAAGTCACTTCTCAATTGACTATATTACTCTTTCTACTGTAGGCTACTTATAATCAGCGTGCGTCTGTGCGAATCGGCTGCAAATCTCACTTCAACGTTTTCACATCGTAAAAATTGCAGAATTGCTGTTTTATTGTAAAATTATCGGATTTAAAATGCATATCGTATAGGCCTATGATGGAATAAAAACATATTTGGTCACACAACATTTGTTTACAAGATGATTTTTCACATTAAAACTGCAAGAAACTTTGTCTTTATATGTGTAAACTAGCTGATCTGAATTGTACACGGTTTTAACTGACTACTGAATTCCCGTACGTAGGACGGGCTAACACCTCGTTCTTAAATAATTACTAGTTGTCTAGAGGACTAGCTTTATCAATATATGACTCATTTGCTGTAATACTAAAATTTGGGCAAAGTTAAAAGCATTAAGGACCAGAACATTATGCTTCATATGAAACTACTGTATTTACCAACAACTCTCTGAGTAACCTTGACACTGCCTTGGCTGATGATGAAGAATGTATCTCCACTGGCTCCTTGCCTCACTATGTGATGTCCAGTGGGATAGAACTCCTGTAACAACAGAGGAAATAAGTTCATGCATGTGTTTATCAGAATTCTCTCCAACATCAGGGTTGTCAACATTTAATAGAGGAAGGGGAATATTTTGGATCCCCCTCCAGGTGATACCAGATTTGACAGCCCGTTTGAGCTAGAAGCTAGAGGAAGGTTTGGAGTTATCATATTTTCTTGAAGGGTTGAATAGATGTATTACCCTTATAGATTATAATTTTCAGAGGTTGGGAAATATTTCAAAAATGAAAATAGGCCTAGTGCCCAGTTTTCAGAGGTTCCATAATACACCATTTGATACCTATTTCATAAAAAGAATTGTTATTTTTCGACCGATTTTCATACTTTTGGTCTGGCTCTTGACAATTCCATATCATCAGGATTCAGCTACTTATCATCAAATTGGTATTTACCACTTCAAGAACATCTGATATTTTCCCCAACACGTCGGTAGGTAGGTTGTGGAGGAGAGGTACACTTCGTAGAAAGTTGACGTTATCTTCCAGTCTTTGCAGCCCAGTCCTCATCATGATTCTCTGAAACACTCTTCTGTCCAACACCCACACCTTGGAGTCTCTCACCACTGTGAATACAACAGCTGTTAGCGATGTGTAGTTCTACATACAATCATAGGACATAGGACTAGTTGGGGGCGCAGCTAGTCTTAGTGTGAGACATCTAGATGTATGGGATCAAATGTTAAATGCATGTTCAACAGAATCATTTTTGTTTAATATGAGTGCACTCTCTCGGTGGCTCAACAGAAATTATTCTTGTAAAATATGAGTGCACTCTCTCGGTGGCTCAACTCAAAACTGGCTCCGACTAAAAAACGGAAATGAAATGTCCTGTTCTATTCATAGTCAAATCGAATACACTAAATACATTGAATTGCATTTTTATATGTGAAAGAACAACTTAATTCAGGACAGATTTCAATACAGATAAATAGAGGCAGTGTTGTTTCCAAAAAACCAAATAAGTTGTTCGATGTTTAGAAACATGTATAGTCCAATCTTTAGTAAATTATTTACAAGATGAATAGGGTCATAAACTTGCTCTTGACTAAATGTCAAACTCCAACTCACCTCTGATGGAAGCAGTTCTGGTACAGTTGTACAGGATAGCCAGTTCTCCAAATGCTTTGCCAGGGCCCATGCGGCCCAACACCTTCCCCTCCTTCACTACCTCAAACTCCCCTTCAGCCGACACATACAGATGTGCCCCTGAAACAAAACGCCCATCATCAAAAAGTTACTTAACTACTATGTTGCATACATGTTGTTCAAAACTCTTTAAGAGCAGGGATTATTTAGTGAAATTTTAAATTAGATACTCTTTTCTGTTGTAAGCACAACAACGTAGATGACATTAGACTAAATTGACTCAAAATTATTGTTTTTGATTTATAAGAATACATAAAGAATTTAATATGAAACACACTTTTTTGAGTTCAGTACTAGAATGTTGTAAAATGTTCGTTACAAGATGTTTTTCCCTACACTTACGTCCTGAAATATTAAGCTTATATCTATTTGGGTTTGTTTATTAAATTAGTTGCAAATAAAAAAATTAAACAACAACCCAGACAGCACACTTTCTCCTCAGGACATCCCACGGATATTGCGACAGGATATCCACAGGAATGCCTAATGTCCCCGCCCGGGGATGTCCTACGGATAAGCTCACACGCATATCCGTGGGACATCCGAGGTCATCCCAGGGTAGTCCTCAGGACATTCTCAGGACATATGGGACTACTATGGGATGTCCCTGGGATAAAGTGTGGTCTGGGCCTGAACATAAAAAACACAAAATAATATAGATTTAGTATGAAAAGCTTAATTATAAGTTTAGTAAATTGATTAAATAGTTAATAAACAAAAATTTTGAAGAAAAAAACGAGAAAAAAGTTTTTGGCCCAGACGGGTTTCGAACCTGGTACCTTCGCCTTGTGAGCCTCTTACTTTACCTCCTGAGCTATCTGCGCTTGTTGATTATGGGTGTTTTCAAGTGGTTAAAGAGTAGCAGACAGTTGCAATGGTCGCAATACTTAAAATATTTTTGATGCTACACTATAGGCTATATATGATTCTGTTAATCTGTTTAGGCCTCAAGTAGTTGAATTGTTTTTCTGGTAGTTGGAGAGGATACTGGTATTTGAATATAGATTATTTAATCAACATTAGATTAGCACTGTAATAATTGATTGTTATATGATTAAAATTAGTTTTTTGTTGTTTTATTAATTTAAAGTTAGAATTAAATTCACATTCCACACAACTATGATAGAACTCTAGTTTTCCTGAACTCAGTGGTAGTAATATGTCAGTAAAGTAAAGTCAACCCTTGCTAGCCATAGTATTAACAAGACATATTTTGAATCTGGGAAACCTTAAACTTTTAAAATAAATTATAAAACCTCAACATCTTAATGCGTGGGAATCTTATTTTTAGAAGAAAAAAAAACAGACCAAAATTATTTGTTAAATAATGAAGACGGCCCAATTATAAATTCGGAATTACTGAAAATAATTACATCAAGAACAACACTGTAACATATCCAAAATTCAAAAGATTAATTTTTGTAATATTATTTTTTATTTTTCCAATATCCTTTAAATCATCTGTTTTAACTTTGTTTAAAATTAATTTATTGAGTAAATATTTACTTTTTGTACTAGTGTAAACACAGCCTGAAGATGGAAACCAAGTTTCTGAAAGCACTAGTGAAAAAAACAAATTATTATATATTGGCCTTGTTGAACATTTAAATTTAGATATACTGTACATTTCATCAGTGGTAGTATTTTTTTTCTTCAGTTTGTTACCGGGACATTACAGGATATCCAGTGGATTTTGTACATGTCCCGGGATGTCATGGGACATTCTGGGATATCCTATGGCATTCGTACATATCCCGGGACTTTACAGGATATCCTGAGGTTAACTTACAAATCCCGGGACATTACGGTATATTGTAGGATATCCTGTGGATTTCGTACTCGTCCCGGGATTTTGCGGGATATCCTGAGGATAGCGCACATATCCCGAGACATTCTCAGGACATATGGGACTACTATGGGATGTCCCTGGGATAAAGTGTGCTGTCTGGGAAAATTCTCAAAACAAAAACAACAATTAATTATTATTGATTTTTCAAAGAAATTATCAGGTGAAATAACACAGAGTATTTTTTTTTTTTGTTTATATAAGCTTAATAATTGTCTATTGACTAGGCCTACCAATAATTCAATTTTAATAATCATCTATTTGTACTCCACACCTTTATTTAAAATTTAATTGTTTATTTTATTTGATTTTATAAAATTTAAAAATTTAAAGATAAATTACTGTTAGATTAAATTTGAAAACTCAAAAGTGTTATAGTATTTTCAAGATTTCTGTTGCTCCAAAATGTAGGAGTCAACTTAACGTTTTAGGCGGATTACACACATATGCCTCTCACACAGTGTGACTAGCAGTTTTCTTGCTACTAGCATGCAGCTTGAAGACCAACCTGTGTTAATCACATGGAGCTTACACCCAGACCCATATGCGACTGGCACAGTGCACAGTGTGGTATCTAGCAGTTTGCATGCAGCGAGCATCGCCACTAGGAACCGATCAGTCGGTGTTTTGGCGCTGCATGCTCAGTTTTCGCATTAGCAGAACACACGTCCAATTCACATGGTTATTGCAAAAACTCTAATGTATCCATTACTCCATACCGTGATAAAATAGAGAGTCGCTCCTAATACAGACAGAATCACGCCATCTACTATTCTTTATGTCACAGTGTTCTCTCAGAATGTCGTGTATTTTATAAATTTCTTTGTATTCATGCAGTACATAATTTCTGGAACTTCTCTAGCTGTTCCAAGACTTGTTTGCTGATAACTTTTTTGCGTAAATAAGGGGGTACCCAATATTATTTTCTTCACCCTACAGCATTTCATCATCCGACGACGACGTCCACATTTTCCAATAAACTGAGCACCACAAAGCCTCTCACCTTGCTACTAGCACATGCCCTGACCATGCAGCGTGCATGCATCCCGCACAGTGCTACTGGAATCAAAATGTTAGTTGCAACGTGCGAGATGGATATGTGTGTAACCCGCCTTAATGAGTAATCTACATCTTAGACCTACAGATATCTTGAAAACAGCACAACCATTTTGAGTTTTGATTGTATTACCATACTATACCATTGTTAAATTTAAGGTTCAGCAATACTGATATAAATATATTTTAGGCTACTTTACAAAGTCAATAGAGGAAATCTCTTCTTGTATAGTGTATGTATGGGTTTATGGCCCTTTAATTGTATTGAAGGTATATCTCACCAACTTCTCCCTCTCGGATGAGATAACTTCCCTTGGGACACTCTCGGGGATACATAGACTCCACCAGCTCCCGTACTTGACTCAGGTCCAGGTTTTTCAAGAAGTCATTGTCCATTATTGCCTCTTTGATTATCTGTTTGGACCTAAGGCAAATAAAGAAGAGCTCTTTAAAGTATGCTAAAATTGATTGTTTTTTTTTATCTGAAAATGTGGAACCAATTACTGCATGAGATCTTGATGCAGTGAAATGAATAGTATGTTTCCGTCAAATGGGGCTAAGTGTCTCTTTTCAGCATCAAGCTTTAGTTTAATGACCGAGACAAAGCTAGGGAAATGAAGGGTCGGAAAGGCATTTGGTTGATGAGATAAAATATCCATACAATTAGTCGTATGGCGCTTTTATTTAAGAATTTAACTCACAAATAGTGAAAGTTGTGTACATTGTTTACTTTGAGAAATTAGCTCCAAAAGATTAACATCCAATTTTGATATTATATATTTCAACAGCTATTACAATTATAAATCAATCTAGATATTGATAGAGGTGTATATGTAGCAGTTAAATATACAGGGTGTTTCAAAATTTTCTGGATATATTTTGTCGACTTGTTCCTTGGGCTAGACAAACATAAAATGCCATATAAGTATGGTTCCAAAATGCCTAGATTTCTGTTTGTCGGTCTGTTTGTGATTTTTAGGAATTATTTTATTTCTAGAGCATTTTTTGAGATATAAATTTCAAACTTGTTATAAATGTGTATTTTAGTTGGTAAAAAAAGCTTACAATGTTAGGTTCCATTATCTCAAGCCGTTTTAATATGGTGCCCATTTGAAATCTTTAATGCCAAATTTCATGAAAACCGTAAATATTAATAAAATTGTTCTTCAGATCAAAAATATAGAAAATGTAAGTTCAAACCAAATGAGACATCGTTTGTTAAAATCGGATGACAAACAACCGAGTTATCAGTTTTTTTGTACATTCGGTTACGCAATTTTATAGGACTTTCATGTTTATTTGTTATTTTACAGAGCAGTCTATGGTAGTCCTATTAATTTGCGTAACCAAATGTACAAAAAAACTGATAACTCGGTTGTTTGTCATCCGATTTTAACAAACAAAGTCTCATTTGATTCTGACTTAAATCCTCTATATTTTTGATCGGAAAAAATTGTCTTAATATTTATATTTCATGAAATTTGGCATTAAAGATTTTAAATGTCTGCCATATTGAAACGGCTTGAGATATTGGAACGGAACTTTGTAAGCTCTTTTTACTTACTAACATATACATTTATATCAATTTTGAAATTTCAAGATATAAAATAATTCTTAAAAATCACAAACAGAAATCTAGGCATTTTAGACTATACTATATATAGGCATTTTATGTTTGTCTTAGCCCAAGGAACAAGTCCAGAAAATATGTCCAGACAGTTTGGAAACACCCTGTATATGCTACAATGTAGATGATAATAAGAGCAAATAAAGTTGATGAAAAAGTAATAAAATATTTTAAAATCAGAACTTTTTTGTTCTTGAAAATCAGATTACAAAGGGAAACACATAGTCCAAACGTCCTCAACTCCAACTGATTTTTTTTGCCCAGGGGATTAAAAGAATTACTATAGGCCCACAACAAAAGTATTGAACATGTTATCACAGCAAAACCACAAAAATATCTATATTTACTTTTCACTTTTGTGCTCTGTAAACATTCCGTATTCATGTGAGAGCCTTGTATATTTATTTAGGAGTTGATCCAACTTCAATTGTGTATTTTACAATGAACCAATATGCATGCAGTTAAACACACCTGAAGTCCTTGTCGAATCTTTGTATCTGGATGTCTGTTGCCGTCTGGCCAGACTGAGAACTCTCAGCTGAGACTCCTTGCTTCTTGTGAGCCGCTCCTGAAGACTGGCCATGAAGAGAGGAGAGCAGATCAATGTCTCCAGAGAAGTTTGATGCCTGCTGCAGAACACTCTGAAACAGTATCAAGTATGCCAAGTCAAGCTAAACCTCACTGTTCAAGGGTACATGCAGCGGACCTCAACAGTTTTAAGGAGGAAAAACACAATAAAGCATAGGATAATTAAATGGCCCCGCCGCAACATACCTGCAGACTCAGCGAATTTACATTTACATAAATAGATTTCCACTAAAACATTCCCTTAAAATTGTCCCCTATTAAAAAAACATTAATTTAAATTATTACTTAGGTTTGCTGCTACAGAGGTGGTAGTGAGGTGTGTTTTTGTATTGAAAGGTTGATGGCTTTACTTTAATACTTTTTAGTGAAATGGCAACCATACAAAGTAGGTATTTTAAGCCAAGTATGAATGGAGATAAGTATGTAGGATGAGTGGCGCGATCTTGTAGTCTTTTTAGTGACTAAGGCCGACATATTCCATAGACACAGCTGTTAATTAATAGCCCAAACAACTAATGGCAACTAAGGGACCTATACAGTTTATAGTGGAATCTGAACAACATTTTTGCCTTTGATGTATACGATTTGGTTAATTATCAGGCTTAGTAGCCTACATAAAAAAAACAGTACTTTCCTGAAGGAACATTCATTATTATCGATGATTTTTTCTCGATATATCGATATATTTGTTTTCCTTTACGATACATTACAAATTGACAGCTGATCTTTAGGCTAAAATATAGTGTACTAGCAGAGCACCCGTCCTTCGTACGGGGTTGGTATATAAGTATAAAATGCTTATTGCAGTTATACTCAAGCTTTGCGTTTGCAATGGGGGGAGGCCACAGTTTGATAAAATTTGGTTCATAAATATACGGTTTGAGATAGTATAACACATCTACCATTGCCATAATGTTCTACCACTGCACCTAAACAATAGAAAAAAATAAATTATCAAACATTCACTCAATATCACAAATTATTCATTAAATTAAAAACTCAAACCTAACTGTAAACAATCTTACTTTGACAGTTCTCATTGTGTATCACAGCTTTTTGTTGCTGCTTGGTTGAAATACTCGAGACATTAGTCAAGGGTAGCAGTGCGAAGTCTAGGATCTGTTTATGATGAATACATTAAGGTATCTGCAATCCTAAAATGCTATGGGAAGGGAAGGAAACAGGTCCGTGACGTAGGAAGTAGTGAAGGAAGTAGTAAAGGCAATCATAAAATGCTATGGGAACAGAGGGAAACAGGTCTGTGACGTAGGAATTGATGAAGGAAGTAGTAAATGCGAGCAGTCCGGAGTGTGGGGACTGTTTATGACGATAAGATTAGGGTATCTGCAATCCTAAAATGCTATGGGAAGGGAGGGAAACAGGTCCGTGACGTAGGAAGTGGTAAAGGAAGTAGTCAAGGCGAGCTGTCCGGAGTGTGGGAACTGTTTATGACGATTAGATTAATGTATCTGCAATCATTAAATGCAATGGGGAGGGAGGGAAACATGTTTGCGACGTAGGAAGTGGTGAAGGAAGTAGTAAAGGCGATTAGTATGGAGTGTGGGAACTGTTTATGACGATTAGATTAACGTATCTGCAATCCTAAAATGCTATGGGAAGGGAGGGAAACAGGTCCGTGACGTTGGAAGTGGTGAAGGAAGTAGTCAAGGCGAGCTGTCCGGAGTGTGGGAACTGTTAATAACGATTAGATTAAGGTATCTACAATCTTAAAGTGCTATGGGAATGGAGGGAAATAGGTCCATGACGTAGGAAATGGTGTAGGACGTTGTAAAGGCGAGCCGTGTGGAGTTTGGGAACAGATTTATGTATCTCCGATACTAAGACTGCTTTCAGAGTGAACTAATGATTTTCTCCGAGCAAAGCTCGGTCCCCAGGTACTTCCCTTTAAATATGAATTAACATGGGGAACTACATAGCCACTGGGGCGGAGCCCAAAAGGATTTTTGAGATAAAAGTATGCCTTAATGTTAATCGGGAATGTGAGCTATCATCATGCCAAATTTCAGCCAAATCCGTTCAGTAGTTTATGCGTGATTGAGCAACACACACACAAACTTTCAGATTTATAATATTAGTAAGATAAGATTATATGGATTATGAAATGAAACAGTTCTAAGCTAATATAACATAACCAACCAAACTTGCTGTACCATTTAAAAAATCCGTTTCATAACAGAAAAGGTGATTGGAGAATATTAAGCGGAGTTTTTAAATGTTACAGCAAGTTTGGTTAGTTTTGTTAGGCTTAGAACAGTTTCATTTAATTTTTTTTTTTTTTAATTATTGTTTGTTGATTCTGAACAATATTTATTTATCGTAGTTTGTCAGCTGATATGTTTCAACTTGTTAATATCGATATATCGAGAAAAAATCATCGATAATAATGAATGGGTTGCCGGATGACTGCCCCCCGGAAAACTACCCCCCCCCCAGCAGGTTCCTACGTCATATTGACGTCAGAGACCGGGGGGCAGTTTTCCAGTCACGGACACTCAAATTTAGTTGTAAAACAGTTCTAATCTAACCTAACCTAACCAACCAAACTTGCTGTAACATTTCGAAAATCTGTTTTATATTCACCATATGCCTTTTCTATTATCCAACGGAATTACTTGAATTAAAATTACATAGCATGATTTGTCTAGGGGGGGTAGTATTCCAGTCGCGGACACGGCTTCCATATTGGTTAGTTATCAGATTTTGTGACGTCACGTTTCTCCTGGGGGGGGTAGTTTCCCGGGGGAAAGTATTCCGCATCCCCTAATGAATGTCCCCCTTAACAGGAAAGTACCAAAAAACTAAATTGCCAAATTAGATTAAAATATATCCATAAACAAGCAAACTACAACAGTTTATTTAGCCTACTGTATTCTCAATGAGAATAACATGGACATTTTCAATTGTAACTTAATTGATATTTTCTCTGTAAGCGTTAGGCATAAAACAAAGCTTCAATTTGCTAAATTATTTCTTTTTTAAGGTCTACAAAATAGTTAAGAAACCATTATTATTATTATTATTATTTATTTATTTTTTTTTATAGAGAAAACCCCATTTTTATCCAATTAAACTCCGTTCCCATGCTCAGATCATGCTGGTTCGAGAACTTGTTAGAATAAACATAAGTTTTCATGTTTTACCAAATTTCATCAGAATCGGATCATTTTCGCTTGAGTTGACACACATATAAATTTGAACAGAGTGTGATTTTTGTCCTCTGGGGACCTCAAAACATAAAGTAAACGAGTCCCGGGCCCAGGTCTTACCATAAGACCTACGGTAATAGCTAGCTTATTCCCTATATATGGAAAATTCGCTAAAACAGAGTAACTAATCTAATATATCCACTAATCATAAGCATCAGTAGCATAGAAGCTCAATAAATATTAAGGCTCTATAATAATAAAGATTGGTAAAAATCAATTATTTTCACAAAATAAGTGTGTATATGTGCGAAATTTGTTTTTCTATTTTTCAACAGTAACAACTGATTTTTGAATTTCTCAAGTTTAAGTCTTATAAAGAAGAGGATTGTTAAAACAGTGATTAATGCTAATGAAAACGGCAGAGGAAATTAATTCAGGAATAACGATAAGCTAACAGTTGTACTGCTTGTTATAATCAATAGCAAGTCTCTGAGTTTTCAGAGACAGAACTATTAATACCTTTAGCATGACTGCTTTTTTGTAAAATATTTTTGAAAGAATTTCTGGTTTTAGTTAGTGCTCACGATTCAACAATCCTAGCTGTTATAGTGGATCTTCAAAAGATCTTCCTCCATAAATGCTTTCCCAACATCCGACCTTCACTGATTTTAGTTTTTGATGTAAAGGGATGGGGTTTTTGATATATCTGTCAATCTGTCTGTATAAATAATATGCTGATTACATATTAACGTAACTAACTATCAAAAGGTCCTAATTATTGAACAAATCAAAGAATTACAAACCTCATTATTATTCTTCTAATGTTTACTAAATATCAATATGAATACGAGCTCAACAGATATACACAGGAATGAGAATGTTACATTTTGGACAATAGTTTGACCCGTTTACTTTTTTCATTTAGGCTGTTCAACATAAACCAGACCATAGTTGTGGGGCATTAGTTGGTTAGGTTATATAAAATAGCTATGGATAAATTGTGCAAGTTAACTGAAATAAATTTAAACCAAAAAACGAAACATCTTGGGATCAGTTACCATGTTGTTTGTGTAGTAGGACTCATGATGTCATACATATCACAAATGGAGGATTATAGAGACATTCAGACATAAGAATATACATTAAGAAAGTATATTGTTCTGAAAAATCTTATATATTTAAAAAAGTGGTTTTCTTTTCCGAGTTAGCTTGCAAAGCACAGATTCATATCAAGCATCGGCATATATTTATCCACTGTATTACTCAACCACTACAATTAAATTTGATTTATTTTTGAATTCTTACTTCCATTTTAGATGTATGTATTTCACCAGTTATAATTATATGATCCTATTTAATTTGGTCTAAGAACCTTCAGTGAGATACCGGCTTTCATTTAAGCAATTAGTTATTCAAATCGGACGAGTTTCAAACAAACGCAAGGTGAACAACCAGCATATAAACTATTTTAAAGGTTTTTCTATGATTAAAAATCAATAGCTCCAGTTTTGTTTACGTTTTAGCCAATTTAAGGGAAGTAGCTATTACCGTAGGTGGCACGGTCAGACCTATCCCGGGACCGATTTTTTTTCATTTTGATGTCCCCAGAGGCCAAAAACATCATTCGTTCAAATTTTTATATATGTATATATATATATATATATATATATATATATATATTTGTATATATATACAAATTTCCAAATGTAAACGCCTATCTTGTGACCCCTCATTTTAAAGGGGTTATCAAGAGAAATTGAATGGCGCAAACCAGAGGTCAATATCGCAGCCCTAATCAAAATGGCAGCCATTTTAATTATTTAAGATGAGCAAGCAAGATAAAGTCTGGACACCCCAGATAACTTTAAAAATTTTATATTTTAATACTAACCAAAAGGTGAATTTTCTTTTTTTATAAAGGTATGCTGAGTTTAGTTTTCCTGCTATAACCTGTTAACCTGCTAACCAAGTTAATAGGGGATATTTCAAAATGACTGCCATTTTGATTAGGGTTGCGATATTGACCTCTAATTTGCGCCATTTAATTTGTCTTGAGAAACCCTTTAAAATGAGGAGTCACAGGATAGGTGTTTACTTTTGAAAATTTGGGGCTGCCCCCAAAACACCCCATTTTGGGGGCCGGGTACACGTTCTAACTTTAATGAAAAAGTGCTTTTTTTATGTTGTAAACATGTGCCGAGTTTGGTTTTCCCACTGCCTCACGTTATAAAGTTAACTGGGGGTGTCCAGACGTAATCTTGCTTGCTCATCTTAAATTAAAATTGCTGCCATTTTGATTAGGGGTGCGATATTTACCTCAGGTGTGCGCCATTCAATTTATCTTGATAAACCCTTTAAAATGAGGGGCACATGATAGGTGTTTACATTTGAAAATTTGGGGCTGCCCCCAAAATACCCCATTTTGGGGGCTGGGCGAAGTTGTAACTTTGATGAAAAAGTGCAATTTCTTATGTTGTAAATATGTGCCGAGATTGGTTTTCCTACCGCAACGCATTAAAAAGTTAACTGGGGAGTTCTAGACTTTTGCAACCATGTATATAAATCCCAAAGTATCCATGAACTTTTGAGAAAACTACGTGTATGCGAGAGTGTGTAAATGTGTTTTTTTATTTGTTAAATTTGTATGTTTTTTTTCTTTTTTTCTGAGAAATGTAGGTACCTACACCTGAAGGCAAGTGAACGCAGCGAGCGAGCTCTAACCTAAAAGTGAGTGAGCGTAGCGAAGGAACCTTAACCAGGACGTCAGGACGTGATTGAGCCATGCGAACGAGATCATCTTGAAAATTAAGAAGTTAAACGTAGTTTTGTTATATTTTTGAATGTCAGGTTAAGTGTAAGGAAGGCCTAACTTTGCCTGAAAAAATAAACGATTTTCATTTAATTTCATTTTCATTTAAAAGTCACACTCCCATAAACCATATACTTAAAATGTTCGTCATGACGAGAAACCTTGCGCAAAACTATCCATAATTTACTATCCATAAATTGGCTTTTAATGTTGTAATTCTTTTCCGAAGGGAACTTTCCATATGCCTAATGTTAAAAATAGCCTCAGCTGTACTTATTTGTCTGTTATTATTTGTCTGTTAATTTATTACCTTATTAAAATCAGGTGTGATTATTTGTTTGTATTATTGTATTCTGTTTGTTTATTTCAGCTTAACTTAACCAATCAATAGTTTTATTAATGCTTATGAAGTCAAACGGGGTGAAGCCCGTGGGTAACTGCTAGTTGGTATAATTTTCTTTCTCACATCTCACAGCATTCAATTTCATTATTTATATCCTCAATCTTTGTCGTTCTGGTTTTCATAACAAAATGGATTATAGTACTTATAAGGCAACTGTCTACACACTGGTAAATTCACTTTTGGTATCACCTTTGACTATTAATACAACAGCCATATAGACGTTGCCAAGCGACCTATTTTCAAAATTCTTATTGTTAAAGTTCCAGTAGAAACCTATCTCATATGGCGGGAAAGTCACCCGAATAATAGATTCAACGGAAGTCAAGATACGACTGGTATAGAAGAATCCACCAGAATGAACAATCATCCTAGTGCTGATGGAAGCCAAAGCGAGAATGATTCCGACGAATTTTCAAATAATCAGGGGATTGTAGTGATTCTTGGGAGATGGTGTGCCGTGTGCGGTCAAACAATTGACAGCAGTTCAATGGGTATTCAGCCTTGCTCTTGTGGCTATTATGCGCACCCAGAATGTATTTTGATGTTAATACGGAACTTTGAGGCAGCTCAACCAGGCTGTGGACGTCTGGGATGCCGAAACTGCAAAACCAGATACAACATCACAGTAGACAAGAGCCTGGCTGTTAGGGCGCTAGATGCGGCCTCTAACATGTACGGACGACTCTGCCACGTGGGATATGCAGGCCTTATAGTGGTTCTGGCAGATATCTTCTTGACCTTTCACGGAACATTTGTCTTAACAGAGGTATTCCAATCTTTCCAGTAATTACAAAATAGTATATTTTGTAACAATAGTAGGAAGTAAGTCATTACTATATTTATGAGAAAATGTTAGACATTGGAATATTTTTTTATTACTGTTAGGAACTTCAAAACTAAAGCATTGTTAGGTTGGATCTTCAACTTAAGTTCAAATTTTCATTGATTATTCAGTTTTGGTTGTTGAAGATTGATACAGTGGACGAAACTATGACAAAAATGTTTGTTTACGTCGGAAAAATCCATAATCCATCAAAAGGGCAATAAACATTACTTTTGCATCGTAAACATGCTTTTCCTACCATTGATCTCATTACCACAGTACGCAAAATAGCTCATTGCCACTCTAGAAGGGAAATATATCATTCCCACTCGCTAAATCAGTTGATTTCACTGTTGGTAATTCTACATCAACCACAGCCGCGGATCCGGTGGTTGACAACCGGTAAGCAAACAACATAACCTAAATTACATTTGATATACAACTAAAAGGAAATCCGTGCGTTATGATAAGTTAGTTATGGTGGTAGGAAACATCTTGTGTGTATTACCATTACGAGCACAAACCGTCATAGTCGCTCTTGAAATGTGTGGCCATACAGTTCTAGAGCGACAATGACGTACTTTGTACTCTCAAACACAAATAGCTATTTTGCGTGGTAAACAATACAATTCTGGATTTATTCAAGTGATAAACATGAAACAAGGTGATTTCACAGCGAAAAGTACTTTCACACTGCTAAACGTTTGTATACATAGTTTCACAAGCACTTTATATGCTGCAATTTGTGGCTAACTGACAGGGAAACAAACAAACTGCACTGAATCAGTTTTCGTTAATATATTTAAAGCCACTATATACTACAATCATTTCATTTCACATACTACCTTTATAAATGTAAATATTTGTAAATGTGGCATTAATTGTATATGGCATGGCACAAACTTAATTGATTTTCATTAATTGCATTAATACATTTATTAATACTAGCGTACATGTTACTCGAATTCGAGCAATTACAATGTATTACAGGAGTTATTTTAAAACGAATAACAGTCATATTTACAATGAGTTTAAAAGTCAACTCAAAGATTACCGGTGTGTAACTCAGACCATGTTTATCTTCGTTATTGATAAACCTAAAGCATTCCGGCCGGTTTCCTCCTTCTCTAAATGCCTCGCTGTAACTTACATGCAACACAGATCATTGATAGAGGGCTAATTGAGAACGAAAAGTCGTTTTGGGGTAGTGTTAGGGCGCATTTATAATCTAATAGTTGAGATTGTCCAGGGTCAGGTGCTGACTGTGATGAGTTAAGCCTATTACGCGCCACTGTTCTGTAGCTGCGGTCGTTATCACGATTACGCCTCTTGTCTATGATTCGTTTTCGTCGCATCGGAGGCATTTAAAAGAAAAAAAACAACAACAAATAAACAAATTATAGGTACACAAAACCCAAATGCACAAATTTAAGTTAGAATCATGCTAACGCGATCCGTCATAGCGACACAAAACAACCATAAATACACAAATTTAAGATAAAACCATACTAACACGATCCGTCTTGGGGGTTATGTTTACACAAACTCAAATAGTAAAGAAATGTACTCAATGCATTTCATTGAATTGAAAAATAAATAACAGTAATTAAATTATACAGCTGATCAAAATGTAAACAATTATGTTCTTCATACGGATAACATGGGAACTTTAAAAGCCACTGGGGTAGAGCCCAAGGGACTTTTCAAAAATGTAAGGTCAGTTTGCAAATCTACACGACACGCTCTTTCCAATGAGACGTCAATGGATAAAATCGGTTAAGAAATGGCGGAGGAGTTCAACCGACAAAGTTTCATGTAGCGTATTAATTATATAGATTCAATACAATAATTTTTACTTCGTATACTACTATACTTTTATCAACATTACTACAATCCTTCTCTGGATTGGAATATTACCTGTACGGATGGTTCCTACGTTTCTCGGCCTCCCCGTGGCGGAACTGGATGTGTCATACAGTTTATGACTAACTGACAGGGAAACAAATATTACTTAATACATTTTAATTAATATATATGAATGTTTACTACAGTTATTGTTTCATACAAAAAATGTAATAGACAAAATTATAACTTTACTCTATAGCATCGTAATTCCACCTTCTTTTCACTAATTCCATTGCACAAAAGATTCAGTCTGCTAACGTTACTTACTAAGTAATGCTAATTAGCCACTACCCAATAATGGAGGCCTGGGGGCGTAGCCCCCAGCGAGCCAAAGGCGAGTAGTTACTATATGATTGTTCAACTAGGTACTAAGTTCCCTGATTCCTTGGTCTTAGTTGAGACTCTTTCCTCCAAATATTGGTACTAATTAATATAAATAACAAGAATCGTTTTAAATTAAAACCCAATCAGTTTTAAAATCATATTTAATCGTTTTCTATGCCCTCTAAAAGAAAAGAAATACTATCTTTCGATATGTTTACTTTTACTTCACCAGTCAACAAAATGTTAAAATTTCAACTGATCCTTTATGTGTGTATTTACAGATATATGGACCAAATGCTGCCAAACTGATGCTGTTTTCCATGAATCCGTTCATGGCTATGGCGGTTTGTAGAGCCATTCCCCTCATTAGTGTCACCGTCAACTTCATTCCATGGGAGGATAAGCTTTTGAAACTATTACGCCGGTAAAAATATGGCCACAGATTAGTTTGTTAATAACCATTCTCATAATTCACTAATTGTTTTTGCTAACGTAGTTACGCTGGTTTACATTTTTTAAAGATTTGCCACCCAATACCTCTTACCCCCCAAAACAATCCTTAAGTTTCTCAAAAGTTTTTTTTTTTATTGAATGATCCCATCATTGTTATTTTTCCTACTATCACGATCAACACCAATATGCCTAACCAAGCCTAACTCTGTTTATGACGGTTTAGGACAATTTGTAACATCAATGTATTTAACATTAAAACGCACAGTGAAACTGCAGTTCAAGATTTTTTAAACTTTTTTGGACTGTGAGGAATAGCCTACCTAATAAATACAAGCACTTGTAACTTGTATAACTATCTATTCATAACTGGAAAGTCAATATTATTATATGAACAATGTAAATAAATAATGAACATATGGATTAATACAAGAAGTACAGAAGCAAAATATCTAACAGTGGTCTCCCCCTAACAATGGTCTCCCCCTAAACTTTCGTACGCAACATTTGATCGATGTGGCGTCTCCAAATTTGTCCATCGTATTGAATCAATGTTATGTAATATATCCATTATGTAGTTGACTAGTGCAGATATGAACAATTAAAATAGGTAATTAAATAATAAAATGTAAAAAATGGAAGGTAATAAAGTGTAGTTTCTTTTTTTATCCTCGTCGCCAATTAATAAATACAAGCACTTGTAACTTGTATAACTATTTATTCATAACTGGAAAGTCTTATACGTCGACTTTTATGCATTTCGTAATGCGCAAACTCCTCCTAGACGGCTGAATCAATCGTTTTCAAATTTTGGATGGCGATAAAGACCATATCGGTGAGTGCCAACATCTATATGGCGTTAAAAATAACTCTCAGGAATCCGCCCCACTGGGTCTCAAAGTTTCAATGTAATCCTTATGGAAGCAGTATTTGACACATAAACAAAGACATATGATCAGCTGTTGACTTTTGAATGCAGTAGATAAAGAAATAGCTTATAGCATTATTCCACAGATATTAGAACAGAAACTGTATGAATCATAAATATAATCAAATGACGACACTAGCTTGAGGTCCGTGACGTAGGAAGTGTTAAAGGAAGTACTAAAGGTGAACAGTCTGGAGTGTGGAAACTGTTTATGACGATTAGTTTTATGTATCTGCATTCCTAAAATTCTATTGGAAGGGAGGATAACGGGTCCGCGACGTAGAAAGTGGTGAAGGAAGTACTAAAGGTGAGCAGTCTGGAGTGTGCAAACTGTTTATGACGATTAGATTTAGGTATCTGCATTCCAAAAATTATAAGGGAAGGGAGGAAAACGGGTCCGCACCGTAGGAAGTGATGAAGGAAGTAGTCAATGCAAGCTGTCCGGAGTGTGGGAACTGTTTATGACCATTATATTAAGGTATTTGCAATCCTATGATGCTATGGGAAGGGAGGGAAACAGGTCCGTCACGTAGGAAGTGGTGAAGGAAGTAGTAAAGGCGATCAGTCCGGAGTGTGGGAACTGTTTATGACGATTAAATTAAGGTATCTGCAATCATAAAATGCTATGGGAAGGGAGGTAAACAGGTCCGCGACGTAGGAAGTGATGAAGGAAGTAGTCAAGGCAAGCTGTCCGGAGTGTGGAAACTGTTTATGACGATTAGATTAAGGTATCTACAATCCGTAAATGCTATTGGAAGGGAGGTAAACAGGTCCGTCACGTAGGAAGTGGTGAAGGAAGTAGTAAAGGCGAGCAGTCCGGAGTGTGGGAACTGTTTATGACGATTAGATTAAGATATCTGCAATCATAAAATGCTATGGGAGGGAGGAAGACGGGTCCGCGAAGTAGGAAGTGAAGAAGGAAGTAGTCAAGGCGAGCTGTCCGGAGTGTGGGAACTGTTTATGACGATTAGAGTAAGGCATCTGCAATCATAAAATGCTGTGGGAAGGGAGGAAAGCAGGTCCATGATGTAGGAAGTGGTGAAGGAAGTAGTCAAGGCAAGCTTTCCGGAGTGTGGGGACTGTTTAAGACGATTAGATCTAGGTATCTGCAATCCTAAAATGCTATGGGAAGGGAGGTAAACAGGTCCGTGACGTAGGAAGTGGTGAAGGAAATAGTAAATGCGAGCAGTCTGGAGTGTGGTAACTGTTTATGACGATTAGATTAAGGGATCCGCAATCCTAAAATGCTATGGGAAGGGAGAGAAAAGGTCCGAGACGTATGAAGTGGTGAAGGAATTAGTAAGGTGAGCAGTGTGGAGTGTGGGAACTGGAAACCGTTTGTAGTAGTTAGATTAATGTATCTGCAATGCTGAAATGCTATGAGAAGGGATGGAAGCATCCCAACGACATAGAAAGTGGTGAAAGAAGTAGTAACGACTAGCAGTGCGGAGTGTGGGAAATGTTAGTGGCAATTAGATTAACGTATCTAAAATACTAAATTGCTATGGAAAGTGATGAAAACTGGTCCACGATGTAGGAAAAGGCTTAGAAAGTAGTAAAGTATGAGCATAGTGTGAAAACCGTATGTGGCAGTTAGATTGATATATCTTTAATCCAAAAATGCTATGAGAAGGGAAGGAAACAAGTCTATGACGTAGGAAATGGTGAAGGAAGTAGTAAAGGTACATTGTCATTGGTGCGGCTGGAACTGCAGTCGTTGGATGACAGCCGTTGAAAGATAATCGTAGAGTGACTGCTTAGCATTGTTTTCAATGGCACCGTTGTCACTGACGCGACTGTAGCCGCAGTCGTAGACGGCTATCGTACGGGTCTGCTCCTGGAGCAGTCAGAGTTGCAGTCGTTGGACGATTTTTGATGCTTTCACGGATTTTTATTGTGATAATACATTATTACCATCATCACCTTACAATAAAATTGGTACAATACAATTAATTTTCAGGGTGTTTCCGAATTCGTGTCAGATACTTTAGGGTATTGTTCCTGGGTAAGAAACAAATCCAAATATCATATTTAAATTGACCGGAAGTCCTTAGTTACTCACACAGCCACCATTTTATATGAAAATATCAATAGATTTAGCACTTTGCCATAATAATGCATCAAAATTGCCGTAAGCGTACGGTAATTGTCGATGCATTATTATGGTATGTACTTGGTAAGTGGATTTATGTGGCATTAAGACACACATAAATGCATCGGAAACTCCCTGAGTACGCAGGTTTGCTTTGACTGGGGTATTATTTTGTTTTTATTCTGGACAAGTTTTCTTCTGAAAAAATACTGTAGCATTTTAATTGTTTATTAGCTTAGTAGACAAATTTACCGAGTATAAATAAACTACACTTCCTCAACGTAAGACCAAACTTCTCATCTCCTGTGATTGGAGAGTTAATGTAGTTAGAAAAGATCCTCATTGATAAAACTAGACAAAAACTTAAAACTGACATTTTGAAAGTCTGAAAACATTATCTCATCAGCTTACAATCGTTCGTTTCTTGAAGTAGCCCTCTTCTGTTACTTTTGTAAACTATACTATGCATTCTAAGTCGTGGAACACTTATCATTTCCTAAAATTTTTCATCTTCTAGATCTTCAACTAAAAAATAACTGAATAGTATTTTCTTTATTTAAACTCATCCATTACTATCACTACTTCAACTCTGTAGCAGTCAAGAAGCAACCGAACGATTGTATAATAATCGCACCAGTGACAATGCATACTGCAACGATTATTGCCGAACGATAATCGTCCAACGATGATCGTCCAGCGACTGCAGTTCCAGCCGCACCAGTGACAACGTACCTTAAGGCTTGCAGTGCAGAGTGTGGGAACTGTCTTTGGCAATTACATTAATGTATATTCTGCAATCCTAAAATGCTATGGGAAGAGAGGGAAGTAGGTCCACGACGTAGGGGGTGGTGAAGGAAGTAGTAAAGGTGAGCGTGTTGAGTTTGGGAATGGATTAATGTATCTGCAATGCTAAAACGCTATGGGAAGAGACTGTAGACTGTAGGTTAAAATAATTTCGAAGCACAAATCGATACATATTTCGATACATGCAATCGTTTATAATAGAAATTTACAACTGAGTTGACAACAGCTGATTTTTACTCCATAGAGGATAAAAACTATTTTTACTCCATAGAGGATAAACAACTATTTTTACTCCATAGAGGATAAAAACTATTTTTACTCCATAGAGGATAAATACTTTTTTTACTTCCTAAAGAGTAAAAATGCTACTTTAGACTCGCAACGCATGCATTAAAAACGACTGGTATTACTGAAACCATGACAAAAACAACAGTATGACCAAAACAATATAATATTAACCCTTGATGACTCCGCTCAATTTTGTGGATGCCTCTGCGAACGCCACCTAGTTATATGAACAATGTAAATAAATAATGAACATATGGATTAATACAAGAAGTACAGAAGCAAAATATCTAACACTACCTATTGTTGAATACATAATAAATGTATGCCTAGCTGAAATCAGCAAAGTAGACATTTTGTTTAGTACTGTCAAAGTAATATGGTTTACTAATCTGTTCTCTTACGTCCTCATCAGGTGCTCGGAGCTAAGTTTACCAGTAGTCGGAAGAGTGTTTCCCTCAATACACGCTGATGTGGAGGAAGACGACAGTAAGGTGAAGGCCGGTAGACTGGTAGGAGGACTTCTGTTGCCCAGCTTTGCCACCATTGTGGGAACCGCACTGTTCGACACCCTAGCATCTCCTCTCTCACGATGTGTCCTTGGTGGTCTGACCCTCGTGGGGGTCAGAGGTCTGATACAAATGTACTGTAGACAGAAACTGTACACCCGTCAGGCTCTGCTGGCTGTTGAACCTTATCGCGAGGATTGAATTATGAAGAATCGTCTAAACTTTGTGATTTAAACAAATCAAATCATGTCAAATTGTTTGTCAATATTATGAATAAACTGACACTTTTTTGTGGGATTCTCATGCTGAACGATCTATATAGGTGAGTGCCATGTACAGGTTGATTGCCTAAAATACAATCCAGGACAGAAGTTATCTTTATATCTGCAAAATACAAAGATACCGAGCAAGGACTTGAGCTAAGAAACTTCCCAACCAGACTAAACTATGTAACCGTTTAATATTATTCATTACTATAAACAATATTTAGTTAAATGGCTGGATACAAGAGAGGTTTGCTTTCAGTCCCATGCCGCACCGCAGTGTGATGTATTTCTTCTACTGGCTACCACACCCGGTACTACAGTAGGCCTACTAAACTCTACAATACTCCTACAGTCCCTAAACATAGTACAGAAAAATAAAATAAGTATTATTACCTATAAGATAAGAATCACTCAAGGACATTAAATAAGGTTAAGAAAAGGTACTAACTAGACCTTTCAAATACACAACTATTATAAAAGGTATTACAGTTGGTTTATGGTTGTACTACTGTTTTTAATTTTAACACAACATTTGATCAATAAAAATTATAGGTCAACTGTAGGTTGTCCTTGAGGTAGAGATACGGGCGGTGGGTGTGATGTACATTTCATGTCAAGTATAGGGGCAGACCAAGTGATAACCCCACATATACAACAATGTAGCACGTTTATGTACAGATACAGAATGAGTACAGTGACCTCTCATTTTTCGACAGGGGTTGTCAGTGTGCACTTCAACTTTGCACTGAAGTGTACTACTAGTACGGTACGATAACTTGCTATATTCTTGTAAAAGTTTATAGCGCAACTGAAATCAACTACATATTAAATAAAGATTATGTTTCATAAATTTACTTGTACGAAAATGTCATTTTAGCATCAACAAATGGTAATTCAACTAGTGTAATCTATTCATTTTGACAAGGGTTGTTTAAATACGCAATATTCATGTTTAAATTAAACCAAAAATATCTAGACCGGTTAGAAAACAAACATATTAAACATTAATGTCCAGTCCAGAGTTCGTCGGATTGTAATGATGCTTGGTAAAATATAACCTCTTGGCAATGAATCACAACCTCCATAACTAATGTTTATTTCATTTCACGTTGGCGGTCTTTGACCAAAATACGATCTTAGTTTAGTTTCTTTCGTCTTCGAGTATTTTCTTTCCAAGGTATTATGTTTTACAATATTTGGAGGGTTGTCATGGGTCTTTTAGTATATTTATATAGGCTAGGCATACTTTATAGTTATTAACAATTATTGTTTTATAAACGTGTGTATATTATTTGGTGGTAGAAAATAGTTAGTTTGAGCTATATTTTCTTCTGTTCATTACGTTATGTAAATTATCTTTCACCAAAACAGGGTATTATAAGCTGTTTCTGTAAAGACTAACTGCTACTATTGTTTTGGAGGACATTTTTTGGGGGGATATTTTACCTCACTTTAGCTAATTTTCCCATTTAGGGAATGAGCTATTACCGTAGATCTCATGGTATTACCCATACACTTACCAGGGACCGATGTACTACTATTTTCATTTATATGCCCCCAGAGGCCAAAAAAACCAATCGTTCAAATTCATATAAATTAATTAATCAGATTTTGATGGAATTGTGTACAAACCTATACACATACGTTCACGATTATTATAACAGAACCGGTACCTGTATGGATCACGAGCATACACAAATGATATGACTGACCCGAAAGTAAACATTATTTAACGGAACTGTCTAAACCATAGGCTAATGTTATTATAGTAGGATTCGGGCCAGTTACTTTATTTGCTATGTTTACGATCCATACCGGTTATGTTTTAATATTCGTGTCTACGTTTATTCGAACGACCTCACGAACTAGCATAATCAGGCTATGCTGAACAGGGTTATATGGGGATAATGGACTTTTAAGGTTTTGTCCATTTTTGACCCTCGAAACATAAAAGTTTACCATTTACTTCTAGAAGATTTGTAGAGCTTCAAAAATACAAATCATTAAAAAAGCGTTGTTTCGTGCTGAATGGATGTGAAGAAAATTTAAAATGGTAATGTTAATTTTGTGGAGAATAAGTAAATTTTGTTAAAGTCGTTTGCTTGTTTATGAATACATTTTTTATCAAGCGTGGCCAACTTATTTATTTCATACTTATAAAATTTAACTTAAAATAATCGTAATTGTGTTTCCTGGAGCAGGAAACCTAGGTCATGCTGTGCATTAATCCTAATGTTATTTAAAAAGAGAATAATTATTCTGATATTTGTGGAAAATATATTCGCAAAACAAATCAGGCAAATGGGGATTCATTTAGTATTGGAGATTTGATATGTTGGGGGTATTGCCCTTTTATAAAAAGGCTACTGTATAATATGTTAAAAATATGCATCTTTTGAACCTCATACAGAAAGTTCTCCGCCGTTACTTGATATGGAAACGGGATCTCAAACATACATTACAAGTATATCATTTGTATTTGCAATTAACAATTTGTATTTGTGTTCAAAAAAGGTATATCACTTACAAGCTTACTAACAATACTCAGCGTTTAAATTATTTTCGAACGCTATTCTGTAATTTTGGCTTGGGATCCAAGACAAAGAAGAAAACAAATCGGTTAACCAACTTTAACAACTTTAAGAGGAAAACAAGAGACCCATAAGTTGTGAGCTCTGTCTTATGCGTTCCGTGGCCAAATAAATCTTCTGAGCCAAGCAATCTTCTTGGCCGAGAAAGATTACTGCTTCGATCTATGCGCAGAATAGTGTACCCTCTTACCCTACATATACCATCTTAGATCCTAGGACAAGTTGAGTAGTCGTGGAGAATGTTGTTGTAGGTTAACAATTTGAAGTCATACACTTTGAAAATTTTTTTTACAGCTTTACTGTATATTTCAAAGCTATATTAAAGATAAACTAGGGACTTGCAGAGACAGAAGTCCCTAAAAAGCTAAAAAAGTATGTAATATTTAAACAAACTTAAAGAATCAAATGACCTTCTGGTCACGATAGATATCTCTGTACACCATATATTTTGTAAAAATAATAATAATCTATTCTATCTATACTTATTTAATACGCAAGCAGGATTTTTGTGACAATTACTCCTCCGAAACTACTGAACCGGTTTTTGGACTCATTGGAAAGAGCGTAACGTGAACTTGTGCAGGAAACTTTCTTTTTTGGGAAAGAATTAGAGAGTGAGGCCCTGGGGCCCTTTAAAGTTTTGTATTTCTCCATAAGATTAACATGGGAAACAAAAATGTTTATGAAACTCCAGCTGTTGTCAGAAATTAAAAGTGAGAAGAAGGACATATGTTAATTTTAAACAGTCAATAAGTTTCTAATTTGACAGTTTGTTACAAACATTTACTGACTTGGTTGAAATGAAATGTTTACTATTTGAATTTGGGTTGGCGTAAATATTACAATTGAAAAAAGCGAGAGAGCCTGGATAAATTGATATATTACAAAGAAAACTGAATTAACACTGTGCTGCATTTCTTAGTAATCATTGAAATAGCCGATTTGCAAACTATGGAAACATAGGAGTCATAGAACACCACCAAGGAGAAGAAATATAAATGATGTTTTTTTATTGTTATTTATAATCGTTGTTATGGACAACCTAATGCGGCTGTGAGTAAGGCTATTTGAAGAAAACACTAAAATATAAGATCAGGTTTTGAAAAATGATAAGATATTTACAAGAAATTGTTATTATATCGATCTGTTATGTATTCCCAAAATCTTTGAGTCGTATCTTTTAAAGTCGTCAGAAAATAACACCTGTAATACTTAGCAATTGCTCGAATTCGAGCAACAGGGACACTAGAACTTATTTAATACGCAAACAGGATTTTTGTGACAATTACTTCTCCGAAACTACTGAACCGATTGACATGTTTTTGGTGTCATTGGAAAGAGCGTAACGTGAAGTTGTGCAGGAAACTTTCTTTTTAGGGAAATAATTAGAGAGTGAGGCCCTGGGGCCCTTTAAAGTTTCGTATTTCTCCATAAGATTAACATGGGAAACAAACATTGTTTTGAAACTTCAGCTGTTGTCAGAAATTAAATATTAAAAATCGGTTTCCATGGAAGCATGAGAACATTCACAATGTTTACATTTGTTTTGACATTTAAATGAAAACAACCAGAACCATCAAATGTCTATTTCACAATTTCAGACAGCTGATCCAAAAAAAATAAAACAACATGAGTATGCTTATGATAAATAACACCATTTCAGAGTTCTGCCAGTTTTTGCCTAACTCTGTTCTGTAGAGTTTAAAGTAGCCTACACCTTATTGTCTACAAATTGGCTAAAAAGCTTAGGTATGGTGCATTATAAAAGCTGACAGCCTTTTTACGTTGACTTAAATTGTAAGCTTACCATTTCCCGTCCATAGGCAGTTTGATAGTTAAAAATTAACCCTTTAAACTGGAATAGAACTGTTATATAAATTGTGAGTATTTCCATTAGTTAATAATCTTTTAGTCAACTCTTTTAAAATAATCGGAAATTATGACTGTTATTAGTTTTTAAACAAGTCATTTGTTTATAGATAGCTCCTGTACTTCTTTGCAATTGCTCGATTTCGAGCAACATGTACACTAGTAATAATTAAACAACAGTCTCGTTGTCTGCTTTAAACAAATAATTTAATTTCTCCCTAAGTCTTATCCCTGATAAAGGCAACAAACGTGTAATTATTTGTAAGTAAATACTGGTTTACTAAGTAGCTTTGGTCTTGTGGTAATGATGATAAAAAAATGCTCCCTTGATTAAAATTCGGGAAATTATCTCCGTAAAATATGAAAAGGCATATGAGTGTGTTGAGATAAGCTTGGCTATTACTAACGACCATCACGTTAGCACCATGACCCCGTTACTGTATTATTTATAATTTCATACTCCTTTAACCTTTTGTAAGGTTCAACAAAATTAGCACCCCTTTAATTAAACCTAAACCTAGATTTATGTTTCTGATCTACATCAAAATAAAAACTACTTTTAG